CCTTCCTTCCTTCCTTCCTTCCTTCCTTCCTTCCTTCCTTCCTTCCTTCCTTCCTTCTTCCTTCCTTCTTTCTTTCTTCATTCCTTCGTCCCTCCCTTCCTCCATTTTTCTCTCTCTCTCCCCTTCTCTCTCTCTCTATACACACAATATATATACATTCTCTCTCTCTCTCTCTCTATATATATATATATATATATATATATATATATACACACACACACACACTATATCACGTTATATAAAGGACTGAGCAGCCACAGATTTGAAACTCATGCTCACAGGCAGCTATGTTCCATAGGCACCCTAAAACTAACCCCATGAGTACCGGGGATGGCAAGAAGCATCTAAAGGAAGATGTTTTGCTCTATTTTCACTGGCATTCAGGGGTATCAGATGTGCCTTCATCTGGAATGACAGGAGCCCTAGTTTTTAATATCTTAGTTATGGACAGAAGCCTAGAGAACTTTACCAGCAACTCATGAAGCCCAGGCTGCTGAAGGAAACTTGCAACCTGCTGGAAATAGAAGAGATTTGGGTGTCCAGGGCTGTGGGGTCTGAGTCCTACCAGCGCTCCTGGCTGTGGCTCTGGTGATGGGGCTACTAGCATCATGAATGAGCAAGTATAAGGGCCAGCACTTGGCACACTATGAAGGCTGTCTTCGAGGAGGCATCGTTGGGTTACCCTTATGTCTACAGGCTCCTGGATGTTCTCCATAGGGAAGAGGGAGGTGGCAGCAGGCAAGGTGAAGGTCACAGAGTGAGTGGTGGCAGTGTACACTGAAGAGCCTTGCCAATCCCGTGCCTGTATTCTGACCACAGGGAGAGAAGAAGAAGAAAGTCAGTGTTTGAGGAGGAAACCCACTCTGAGCTGGGAGGGGGAGGGCGGGGCTCCACTTTACTGTCAAAGATGGCTGTATTTTGTGTTTGGCTGTTTCTGTGTTTCAGACAGAAGTCGCATCAGAATCTGCTGGTGCCTCTGTGTGGCTCAGAGGTCCATGAGCAAGCTCATACCAGAGCTGCTTAGAACTGATGCTCAATCCCTAATATAGTGCCAGTACTTAACAGGTGGCTAGCAAATCACTTCTCCAAGTTTCTCTCCCCTACCTGCCTTGACCTTTGATGCCATGGGCTTACAGCCCCATCTTTTCTGGCTGTTGACCTTGTCCCATTTGATGAGTCAAGGGACCTTTTTTTCAGAGTTGGATACTGCTTATGGAATCTGCCACTTGGACCCACGTCTGAGCAACCCTGGTCTGAGGAGCCAAAAGCCCAGGCTTAGTGTGAGAGCCTTCATCCTGCCTATTGGCCAAGGAGTGACATGGAGGTGTGTGTGTGTGTACAACCATGTGTGTGTGTGTGTGTGTGTGTGTGTGTGTGTGTGTGTGTGTGTGTTTCCTCTGGGTTGGAAATGATCTTTACCATTCTGTATCAGAGCAGCTGTGATCAGTTAATGGCTCTAAGACTGGGCCCATTAACATTCCATTGTGGAAGGACCACAAGGCTTGTGGGGCCCAGAGAAACATAAGCCTCCTCCTATCCCCATGCATATATAAGCAGTTAATAGTTGCTGGGAAGTGGGGCTCCTTTCTTCAATGGTGTGCCCACCCATAAGTTGCCCACACTCCTGTAACTAACCTCTGAAGTTCTAAGTTAGATGTGGGTGAAATTGTTTCCCTATTCTGTTGTTTCCCTCTGTATATGGGTGAATTAAAATAGATGTCCCAGGCTGGCCATGGTGGCTCACTGACTTAGAAACCCAGCACTGAGGCTTGGGCAGGGTGATTTCTGCAATTCTGAGACTATCCTGGTTTACGTAGCTAGTCCTAGGTCACCCAAGGCATATACATATAGACTCTGCCTCAACAAATAAATACATAAATACATCAAAGGAACCCCCCTGAAAAACACATATGACAGGAAGTCCCCAGTCGGTGCTCACTGAGACAAACCTTCCTGGGAAATCCAGGCAAATGTGTCTAGGACTGCCACCAGCTCTCAATAGACAATTGGATAGCCAGGTCACACTCAGTGAGGACCATGTGTGTGAGGAGGTGGTCCCATTCATTAGGCCCCTTACCTGCACAGCTCAGGAGACTCCAACACTGGGCTTAGCCCTCCATAGTTCCCTTCCTGTCCCACACAAATACCTACTATGGTGGAAAGATTCCACTATACCCAGGCCCAGGTCCCAGTACTTCCCCAGCCTGGAAACTGGCCTCTGGGCCCTGCCTTGGGTATCAAGTTTATTGGGCTTGCACAGTACAGCTCAGTACCTGTCCGTGTATACAGAGATGGAGGGTGTGGCCAGGATGGCTGGAAGGTCCCCTGGCAACGTTCCCAACAGAAGGGCAGTCTGCAAATGGTCTACAGCCTGAAGCAGCTGGGCCACAATGAGAGCCTGGAAAGGAAGCAGAACATTACTGTGGTCTGTCACCATAGAGCCCTTTGGCTGCTGTCACAACGTTAGCAGGGACTAGGAGAGGACAGGGACGGGATAGACAGTAATAGCCCTGCATGTCATAGGCAAATCCGGCTTCTACAAAGGCCAAATCATTTGCCTGGCTGTGGGCTCTTCTGCCCTCACAGCACCTCCATGAGGCAAATGCTTTCTCTCCCCTGGACAGAAGGGAGAGGGGAAAACAGAGAGAGGTCGTCACTCGGGAAAGTCACGTATTGGTGAGATGAACCAGGGCTCTCAGGAAGTCTGGCTCCAGGAGGCATATGGAGAGCCGTTGTGCCGTGTGGCTCTGGGCTGCAGGCACATACACGTGCCCTAGGCCTTGCTCCAGGAGAGGTAAGAGCAGCAGGCAAGGCTCGGCTCCCTGCCCACCCAAATCCCCAAACACAACACATTTGGTGCCAGTAAGTTGGCTCCGTGGGTAAGGTGCTTGCAACAAAGCCTGATGGCCTGAGTTCCATCCCAGGGAGTCACGTGGGCATAAGTAGCAGGTGAGCATTCCATCCCACGTGGTGGAAGGAGAGAACCAATTTCCCATGGGTTGTCCTCTGACCTCCACGTGCATGCTGTGCCGTGTGAGCCCCTCAAATAAATAAATAATAAATGTTTAAAAAGATTTTGGCACATCCTCATGGTGACAAACAGGGCTAGGCAGGGTGCGTAGGCATGTGTGTATAAGGATGAGCATGGGAGTCCGTGTTTAGTGCGTAAGTGTGAGGCCACATGTGAGACGTCTTTGCATGTGTGTCCTTCAGTTCTTTTTGAATAAGAAAGGTGGCCTGTGGCATAGAGGACTGTGGAGCAGTGACCATTAGGCTTCGTGGCTCCGCCATGATGCTGTCCTGAGAGGCAGCACTGTGGAGGTCCACCAGTGACTCAAGAGGGGGGTGGTCACCCCTGTCCCTCCTTTCTTGCTCTGGGTGTCTGACTCCTAAAGACATTCTGTATTTTGGTTACAGGAACCAGGCTATTGCGCAAACTTGTGAAGTGGTTCATATAACCTGTCTAGTGGACAGTCCAAGTACAGACAAGGAAAAGAGGCTCAGGAAACTTAGGTGGCTTGGCCCCGAGTGACAGGCAGGAGTCAGTGAGTACAATGCCCCTGTTCTGTGTGCTATCCACATACTGCTTTCTAGAACCTTCCCCCAAGCTTCCAAGAAACATCGGACCCTCTGCACCTGTTTCCTCATCTGTAAGCTGGTGAGAAGGATGCACCTAGCAACACTAGCGTGAGCTGGGCATGCGTGTGAACAAGGTCCAAGGTACCCACCTGGCTCCTGTCAGCCTCCGTAGGCTCTTCTGATCCATGGCTGAGGGACGCTTCCAGCACATGCCCCGCAGCCTGAAACATGGCCCTGGTGGCTTCCTGGTGTCTCTGATCCTCAGAATGAACCTTGGCACTGGCTGTCAACAGGGCTTCAGTGGCATGCAGCAGAACCTGGCTGGCCTCCCACTGGGATCACCCAAAGAAGGAAAAACAATAGGAGTCCCTGCCTGGGGCGGGCGATTCAGAAAATAAGAGGTGTATTGGAGGGGTGCTTGGGAGGGCCCCAAGCCAGGGAAGAGCTAGACCAGAGCCTGACATAAACAGCTCAACTTAAAACTGGCTTCTCCCTCCCTATAGAGGATGGATGGATGGAGGATGGATGGATGGTAGATAGTTGTACATAACACTCATGCCAATTTTGTGATTTTATATGTGTTTGTAAAATTATTTGTTTAATGTCTCAGTTGGTGTCCCAGTAACCTAGAGGTACTATGAGGGCAGGCCCATGTGTGAATGAGTTCAATCCCTGGCACACATAGACATTCCAGAAGCCTCTGTAGGGTGAGTGAATTAGTGTAAGCACAAATGCACAGAAGGGGGGATGGGAGCTATATAGAGGAGTGTGTATATGCAGGTGTGCATAAAACAGACAAAGGAGCAGATGGGGTGGGAATGGAAATGTCACGTCAACAGCACGAGACCCTGGAATAGTTTCAGCCATGCTGGTTTCAGACTAGGAGATATGTGAGGACAGGCCCCCAGGCAAAGCAGCTGGGCAAGATCAGGGCACTTCTTCCTCGCCATGGCTTTGTGGCTTCATTTTGATCCTGGGTTGCTATAACCCTGGGAACATGGTACTTGGCTATGATTCTTCAGGAAGTGGATCCTGAAGCAAAAGTTTGAGCGTAAGTCATTGATTTGAGGGTGATCCCTGGGAACATTCTAAAGGAGTGGGGATGTGAGAGAAGGAAGGTGTGGTAGTTTGGAAGAAAATGGACCCCACAGGTTCGTAGGGAGTTTCATTATTAGGAGGTGTGGCCTTGTTGGAGTAGGTGTAGCCTTACTGGAGAAAGTGTGTCGCTGTGGGGGGTGGCTTTGAGGTCTCCTATGCTCAAGCTCTGCCCAATACGGCACACAATCCCCTTCTGCTGCCCCTGGATCAAGATGTAGAACTCTCAGCGCCTTCTCCAGCACCGTGTCTGTCTGGATGCTGCCATGCTTCCCGCCGTGATAATAATGGACTAAACCTCTGAAACTGTAAGCCAGCCACAATTAAATGTTTTTCTTTATAAGAGTCGCCATGGTCATGGTGTCTCTTTATAACAATAAAACCTCGACTAAGACGGAAGAGTCAGAGGTCAACACGGAAGGTATGATCAAGCCTGTTGGAGTCTGACCTGGGACTCAGTCCTGCTCAGGGCTTACCTCCCGAGAGTGTCTGGAAGCTGAGGTGCTTGTGCCCCTGTCCCACCAGTCACTGAGCACCGTGTGAATCCCCTGCCATGTGAGCAGGTGGGAGAGCTCTGGGGGTCAGGGAGGCCCCAGGCTAGACTGGCAGGAGCCAGCAGCTGCATGATAGGTTGACACACATTGGGTCAGTTGCAACATCTGGACACACACTTGGGACCCAAAATGAATAGGACCCAGTTGCTCCCTCTGGTGCCCACCAGTGGTCAGTAAGCATACAGGCCATAAATAAGCCCAGCGCATAAGCCCAGAGTAAGGCACTAGGACATTCCACGGAGCACCGTCTCCTGTTCCTCCCATGAAGGGCTCTTAGAGAGAAGATGACAGAAGTCTTGTAGCCCCAGGAGAGTGCCATAATTGAGGGATGTCTTTGATCTAACCCTAATGAGTTGCCAACCCCACACCATGGGGAAATACATGTGATAGCCTGGCTCAGCCAATGGAAATTCTCACCTGGGCCACAGGGGTGAGCTCCTCACTGCGATGAGTCACCTCTCTCAGGGCCTCAGCCAAACCCTGAACCCTCTGCATGTTCTCCAGGCTGGAGGTGACCTCGGACAGCGATCTCAGCACAAGCTCTCTGACCTTGGCACAGAGGGAGAAAGACCAGGAGAGAAGCTGTATTTCAAAGGCTTTGTGGAGGCATTTAGGGAGAATTTGGGGGTCCCAGGAGTGACCTGGCTCATTCTGGCTCTGTAGACTTGGATGCATGGCAGACAGGATAATACCCTCATCTGAATCTTTAAAACCTGTGACTATGTTGTCCCACAGAGAGAAGAGGAGGTGTTTTGACAAAATCATTCTGAAGATATAGCTCAGTTCAGCATCTTCAAACAGAGAGCTCTTTTGGAACTTACAGGTGGGAACAATGTAATCACAAGGGTCTTTATAAGAGAGAGGCAGAAACATTGGGGAAGGAAATGAGTGATGCACACAGAGGTGATGAGAGGAGAGGAAAAGGTTTGAGAAATGTAGTGAGGGCATGCTGGGGTGATAGCTCAATTAGTGAAGTACTTGGTTTGCAAGAATGGAGACCTAGGTTTGGTCCCCTAGGCCAGGACTGATGACAACCTCTAGAAGCTGGAAAAAGTAAAGAGCAAATTCTTCCCTATGGCCTTGGCCTCCAGAGGTTCTCAGCCTTGCCGAGGCACACTTGATCTAGGCCAAGTCACTTTTCTCCTCTGGTCCTCAGTTCCATCATCTTTAGTATGAGGGAGCTGGGGTGAGGTTCTCAACTTCCTTCTGGGTTCCAGAAGGCTGTGGCTCCATGGAGTTGGGCAGAGAAAGTGGGTTACTGATAAAGAAGGTATTTCCTTCACTCTATGCCATTCATTGGAAGAACTAAAGCAGGAAGTGACCATTGGGAGGCACTCAAGGCTTCTCTGATTCATGAGCCCCACCCCCACCCCAAGAAGCGACATGCAAGACCCTAAAGGACCCACTTCACACACCTTGCACTTGACATCTATTCTCATCTGCCCAGAGCCTGGGCTCTGGTCTTCCTGGTTCAGCTCAGATGACACAGCCTTGGCAAATAGGAGAAGCTGCTCACAGCCATGCTCATCTTGCAGAGCCGTGGTGATTCTCTCTGACACAATATTTTGGAATGCCACCTCTTCAATGTCTGTGTCACCATGTCCCACCTGGCAGGGAAACCAAAAATGGGCTCAGCCATCTTTGTTCAAGAAGCTGGCTCCTAAAGTCATGGGTTTGGGAGCGAGCAGAGCAGACCTAGCAGAAGAGCGCTCACACTTCCTGAGTCTGGAGGACACCTGGACCCATTTGTACCAGGCTGCTGATGGCTTCCATCTTGGGCAAGCCCACACTCCACCTCTAGTTGCTCTCTTCCTCCTATCCATCCCCCAACCTGTACCTGCTTGTTAACCATGCGCTCCTTTTGAGATCTCTCCAGGCTCCACCCAGAGCTCTGCTGGCTGATCTCAGTCCTAACTCATCCCTGAGTTCTGCCCCACCTTGCCCTGCTCCCAGGACCTCCCCATACTCTGGCTACTAAGTCAAAAGATACACAAAGGTAGAGGTTGGATCCATTGTCCATGGCCTTATCCTCAGGACCTGGCACATAGTGGGTAGATGCTCTGTAAATATTTGTGGAAGGAATGAGTGAATAGGCGATTCATCACCCATGCCCTCAGCTGCCTCCACATGCCTTGTAGTTCCTGTACTTCAGTTGGGTGGAATCATCTCTCAGTAAGGAAACCTAGCCATCCACTGCCACCCACCTTAACTGCCACTTGGGTCTGCTCTCTGTCCCCTCCCTGATTGGTGACAGAGATGACTACTGTCAAGACAAAGCCATCCTTTTCTTCTCCAAGTGGTAGATACACAGTAGGGAGGGCTGGTTCAGGGCCGCAGTGGAGGCAGGATCCTGGAAAAATGGAAATAGAGAAATTAGTTCCCCTGGACACAGGAATAGGGAACTCCCAGCTATTAAAGGTGTGGCACCCACTCTGGAAACCCACAGGGTTGGGGAGAAGGCTGCCGCACAGGTGTCTGTACCTTTAAAATCATTTCCCTAAAGTGTATGAAAAATTGAGGAACCATCTCCCCATTTACAAGTGAGTTTATTTTTTTTTTATTGTTGTTGTTGTCATCATTTGTTTCAGTTGCTTTGGTTTGATTCTTACATTTTAAAAGATTAGATTTATTGATTTTTATTTTATGTGTATAGGTGTTTAGCCCATGTGTGTATCTGTGCACCGTGCACACGTGTGGCGCCTAAGGGGGCCAGAAGAGGCATTGGATCCCCTGGAACTGGAGCTACAGATGTTCGGGAGCCACCATGGAGGTGCTGGGAACAGAACCTGGGTCCACTGAAAGCGCAACAAGTCCATCACTCCTCAGCCATCTCTCCAGGCCTGAGGTGGTTTGCTTCAGTTTTGGTGTTTCTGTTTTTGTTTTTTAATGTGGTAAAGTAAATTACAGTGTGAACCCCAAAAAGAAGTTAGGGAGTGGAGGGAGAGAAAGGAATAGCAAGAGGAAGAGAAACAGCCCCCTTAAATGCCGACCAGAACAGAGCCACACCACTTCAGGAACCAGCAGTGTAAGCTAGGTGAATTTGTTTTGGTTTGTTTTAAAATCTTTGTGGGGGGGGGGTACCCACATAGCACAGCACATGGATGGAGTGCAGAGGATAACTTCATGGTGTTGGGTTTCTCCTAACACCCTTATGTGGGTCTGAGGATTAAACAAACTCAAGACTCGGGCTAGAGCAGCAAGCACCTGTACCCACTGAGCTATCTCATCGGCGCACTGGGTTGTTTGTTTGTTTGTTGTTGTTTTCGTGGGGTTTTGTTGGTTTTGGTTTGTTTTCCTGAGACAATGTCTCACTCTGTAGTTCAGGCTGGCCTCGAACTCACCATGGAGCCTAGGCTGGTCTGGAGCTCAAGGCAGTCTTCCTGGTCCAGCCTGTCAAGTGTGGGGACTGTAGACACAAGCCATCACCCTTGGTGTCCACCTTGGCTTGGGGCTGTAACAGTGGTGGGAATGGAATCCAGGGCCTCACACGCTGCAGACAACACTCTCCTACAGACCTTTACCCCAGCTCACACCACCCGCAGAGACGCTCCCTGTCACTGTGTCTCAGACATCGCCCCCTGTGATACGTGTCTTGGTGCTCCGCTTGGTATATGGCCTGGTCTCTGCTGCTAGAAGTTAAAGATCACAAAAAGCAATGATTTCCTCTGTTGTGCTTACTACCACATACCTAGCACCCAGAACACAGGCTGGCATTTGACACGTCTGTTGTAAACATGAGTGAATGAATGAATATCATTTTTCCTTAAAGGAGACCTACACATCAAGGGGGTCTCCAGTCACTGTGTGGTGTGCAGACAATTGTGAAGCCATTGGCTTGCAAATGAACACTCACTGTTGTGTGCCTTGCCTCCTTGCCTTCTTGTTTTGCTGTGTGAGATGGGAACTGAGGACAAAGGGGGGAAATGGCCTTTCCCTTTGGGTGCTGTGGGGTTTGCTTTGAAAAGGAAGCCTACTTGCCTTGTCTGAATGTTCTCTTTCTTTCCACACTCAGACCCAGTCATTGCCTTCTTAACAGCCCAGCATTTGCACATTCTTTGACAAGGTACCCCATGAAACCTATACTCCTTCAGAAGGACTTACACCCACCTCTCCCTGGTCAAGGAACACTGTTTATGTCATGCGATGTCTGGGGCAGGATATTTAGAGTATGCTAGCCTCAGTTTGAAAGAAAGTTCTACTTGAGCTAAGGCCTACACAGAGCTTGTGCGACAGTCCCCAAATGCCCAAGACCACAGGGAGAACCAACAGCCACCAAAATGGAACAGTAAGTGGAGTGAGCTGTCCCAAGCCCCCATCTCTTCATAGTCACCATTGTTCTGGAAATGTAACTGTCATGACTGACATGGCTGACCATGTTCGGTGTCAGGCAGTGTAGGTGGGATCTTTGACGGTCACCCTCTATAAACCTTCACACATATAAAAAAGGCGCTCTTTTGAGGTTTGCTTTGTCCTGTGACTGTCGTTCTCTGCTGCCATTCACAAATCAGGGTCAATGAAAGTGTTACAGGTTCTATGAGACTGACGCAGCTCTGTCTTCCCAGGTAGCTCCAACTCCACACTTTCAAAGAGTCACTGTGATTCTCTCTCTCCCTCTTTTCCTCCCTCCTCTACTTTTCTCTCTTTGTCTCTCTCCTTTCCTCTCCTGTCTCTTCTCCCTCTCCCCTAATTCTTCCCTCCTCTTCTTCTCTCTCTCTAGCTTTCTCTCTTCCTTTTCTTCTCCCCTTCTTTCTCTGTCTCTCGTTCATGCGCGCGCGCGCGCGTGCGTGTGTGTGTGTGTGTGTGTGTGTGTGTGTGTGTGTGTGTGTGTGTATTGAGGACTATGGCCTGGTATGTCTCTACCTGTTGGGTCTCTTCATTCATTTAACCCTTTCATATGCCCTACATTGAGACAAAGTCATTGTGTCCTCCAGGCTTGGGCAGATGCTGCTATTCCCTGCTGTCCTTCTGGTGTGTTGACTGAGCCAGTGCTTATCAAGGCTTAGGAGCCCCTTATCCAGTTAGCCTCTCTCTATTACAGAACATATTCATTGCATGTCCCTGACAAGAACAGTCCCCATTCTTGGAGAAGATAGGCCTGGGAGATGAGGGAAGAGCAGAGTCTGTAGTTGGTACCTGAGTGCAGACAGAAGCAGTACTCCACGGGGCCTGGGGCTGTGGAGGTGCTACAGAAGAGAGCAAAGCTCGTCAGTACAGTACCCTCCTCCGGAACAATTGTGCAGACAGGCACCTCAGGTCGAGGCAGCAAGCTGATCACGTAGGTATCCTCCCCATAGGCATGGCTGGTCAGTGCTGGGAAGTGAAGATTCATTAAGCTTAGAAGTCTGTGTGTCCAAAAGCTCAATCCCTCTTCAGGATGACCTGGGGAGTTCATTAAGCAAAGAGTTCTGGGCCCTCTCCAGACCCATTGCCTCTGACCTCTCTGGAGATTCTAGGGTAGGCCCCCAAATATTCACATCTAACAATTATTCCCAGTGAGAAAAGAGACTCAGACAGATGTGGGGCTGGAGTTACACTATGTATTGTCCAAGTGGCCTTGGACTTGCCCTCTGTCATCTGTAACGTGGAGCCAATAACAATTTCCTCACAGGGACTTCATGAGCACCTCACCCAGAAGCCAGGTCCCTGGGCCGGGGAAGAACCAAGCTGGGAGCTGGAAGCACGTGGACCCAGCCAGAAGCCCTCTCTTTCCATTCTCACCCTCAGCACTGTGCCCCTGTGTGTCCTGTGGCAACATGCCACCACACCTGGCACAGCCACTGAGTTTAAAAAGAGTATATGGATGAGAGCGCTGAGCAAAGGAGAATATTTCCTGTTTTTTTTTTTTTAACTATTTATTTTTAGTTTGTGCGCATTGGTGTTTTGCCTGCACATAAGTCTGTGTGAGGGGGTCAGATCCTGTGCAACTGGAGTTACAGACAATGGTAAGCTGCTGTGTGGGTGCTGGGAATTGAACACCAGTTCTCTGGAAGAGCAGCCAGTGCTCTTAACCACTGAGCCATCTCACCAGCATCCCTGACTCCCATAGAGGAGAATCTTAATTGGTTACAACTGAAGCCTTGGCCTAACTCACTTGAGAAGGTCTGAGGTAACACTGAGCAAGTGCCCGCCTCAGTTTGTCTGGCTGTGGGTGCTCTGTGGGCTGTTAGGAAATACAGAATCAACAGCCAGAACCGACAGTACTTGCCCACAGTCCCAACACTTAGGAAATGTGGAGTCAAAGGAAGTGTTCTTAGCAAGCATAACCATCCTTGTTGTGTGACTGTCTGAGCATTGAGTTCATTTTCAATAACCATGTCTCCTGGTAGGACACACAGCTTGACTTAGGGTGGCCAGCTGGTCCCACTGGCGTTCTATCTTGTAAGACAGCGGGTCCAGGACAGGCATTTATATCACCTCAGATTCACACGTGAGGAAAGTGAAGCAACAAGAAGTCAAATCCTTTGATCTAGGTCTCCCAGGCAGAAAGCTCATACCCATACCCTGCTCTGTGCTAGGCCAAAGTCTTTTATTTCAGTGTTTCCAAGTTGTTTTTGTTTGTTTGTTTTGTTTTTTTGTTTGTTTGTTTTTGGTTCTGTGGCGAGATGGGGTGGCAGCTTCTCACCTGTGACCTGGATGTGGATAACAGGTCCCCAAGTCTGCAGGAAGCTGCTGTTCAGCGACAGCATGGAGGAGTTGCTATAAAGGTGGGTCAGTGAGCGTGGCCAAAATCCTCTGAGTCTGCAGGCACCTGGGAGGGGCTCAGCCTGCAAGAAAACAGCACTCGGGTCCTTAGAGTCTGTTAGGCAGATCCCTAGGCATCCTCAGTCCTGTGGCTTCCAACTCCCTGGGCCTTTCAGAGTTCTCTGTGATGAGTGAGTGGCAGGCACTGCCACCACCCAAGAGGCCAGTAAACAGTCTCCAGCCTTGCCCCTTGTCCAAGGTCAGGTTCCAAGAAAAGGAGCCTGAGGAGGGATGTGTGCAGGTCACTCACAGAGGGTTTGCTCATCATGGAATCAACCAGGCAAGCAAGCCGGGCAGAGAAGGGAGTGAGGGCAAGCATCCTTCTCAGCATGGCCCATGGGACCTTGGCCATGTGCTGCAGAAATGTCTTTCCTTGGGGCAAAGGCGCCAGGTTGTTAGACTTTCCTGTCCATCAATTGCAGGCTCCCAGCCCCCCTGCATCGCAGTTGGTATATGTACATTTCCTGGCAGAAGGCTTGGGCCAACAGTGTCTACCTTCCCATAGGCTTGGCTCTTTTGTATCCATTCACCTGTCAGAAGTCAGGTCCCGTTAAAACACGTCCCCTAACCTTCCCGACTGCCTTGGCACTGGCTCCAAATGGGGTTGGCCCCACCCTAGCTCAGAACCCAGCATGCCACACAAGCCTGGTCCTCTCAGAGGAGACAGTTTCTGCTGAGTGGTTGCAACCACTCACCTTCTCTGATGAGGTGGCATCTAAGTACCAGGTGAACATGGCCACTGGGGTTTCATCTCCCACAGTGACTGTGAGCAGAACGTCTTGGTCAGCATTCACTGGCCAGCAGTTCTTCACACAGCTGGAAGGTACAGAGAATAAAGAGAGAAATCTCCCTCAGGCATCATGACTGCTTGCCTGGCATTTGCTCAGTTCTTGAGTCTGTGGAGAGGTTAGGACGTGGCCTTTGTCCAAAGGAAAGATGGAACAAAAGCCACCAGTGCTCCAACCTAAACCTTGGTCTGCTGGCAGATGAAGAGAGTCAGGACATGACTAGATTCCCAGGTCTGCAGTATGCAGAGGGAGAGGCTGAGACAGGGTCCTGGCTTCCAATCCTAACCCCGTCACTTAGGAAGACTTGCCTCATGTGAGTTGCTTAAACTCTAAGACTTGGTTTCCTAGCTGCAAAGGAAGTGGAGAAAGCCAGAAAACTGCCAAGGTTCTCTTTCATGTTGATAAAAGCCACGGCTCCATAGCACACGTAAGGTGCATAACTAGAGTACCCTGAGAGTGACATGTCAGAGCCCCTAGAGCACACGGGAGCATGCCAGGCTCAGAGGGCATGTATGATTGGTCCCAGGTGACCTCACTTCTGAGTGGGTGGATGGAACATGAACCATGTGTCAGGGTCTAAACCCTGGTCAGGGGTGTCTTCTCTCGCTCTTTCTCTTATTTTTGGAGACAAGGTCTCTTATTGAACCTTAATATTACATGTTTGGTTAGACCATCTGGCCAGCAAGCCCCAGGGATCCTCCTGTCCCTGCTTCCTTTGTACTGGACTTAATAGGGCCATGGTGTTATGTCTGGCTTTTTACTTGAGTGCTAGGGATCTGAACTTCTGTCCTCATGATTGCACAACAAACATTTTATCAAACAAGCTGTTGTCTCTACAGCCCCCTGAACCTTCTATATGCTGTCCTACCTCACCCCTAGAGCCCCTGAGAGGTCATTTTGACACCTGCTGCATGTCTGATGTCTCCCCAGGTCAATTCAGTCTTAACTCCTTTTTCTTTTGTTAATGTCTTTCCTAATATAAGCAGGCTGGTGGGTTTCTACAGACCTCCCAGGCCATTCCCCAGCTCACTCTGAGAGCCAATGTCTCAGCTCCCACCCTCCAGCTTCTATTTGGGTCCAGCCAGTGGAAAGCATTGATTGGTAGGGGAACAGGAGTTTTGAGGATAGGTGCTCTGAGGAGAGCATGAGACTCTTGGTTGCTTACCAAAGGGCTGACAGAATCAATGACCATGGTCAAGGCCATGGCTCCTGTCTCTCTCCACCAGTTGTAATTCAGAGGGGACTCTAGTCATGCCCCCTCTTACCTCTGCAGTACTAGGATTGGCTCACCCCATCCTATTGCAGCCCCGCACTGTCACTTGCAGCAGGTGGAAGGACTATTCCTTCAGTCCTGTTCACCTGAAAGATGATGCTTACCCACCTGCAATCAGTTCTGACTACAGCAGGCTTCCAGCAGGGACCTGGCTGGCAGGCCTGGCAACCTCAAGCTCCGACCTTGACTCCTATTCGGTGCTACGCATCTCCTCAAGGTCCCTTCTATGCTGAGAGCAGAATGTTTTAAAGAAAACTGTGATCATGCCCCCTCCTGCCCAGAGACCGTGGGTAGTTTTCACTAGAGACTCTTGCATGACCTCCCTCTTTCTCCTCTTCCCCAATGTCCTCCTCCAAGCCTCTGTTGAACTCCACTTCCTATGGTGAAGCTCCTCCTTCTGTCCCCCTGATGGAGAAGTTGTCATAGGCTTCTTCTGTCCCTTCATGCCATTTATTGCTGATCCCCAAGTTGCCATTCCTACAGGAGCCCAGGTGAGACCACCCTGCACATCTCACCCCTGAGTGGCTGATGAAGAGCATGCCCACACGCCTCACCTGATTTGAGGCCCAAGGTCCATGGGAGCAAACACATAGAGGCACCGTTCTGTCTCTTTCTGCAGTTTCCAGCCCCTTAGGATAGCCAAGTGCAGGGTGACGGCAGAGTTGACCGGTGGCAGGCAGGAGGTATGGAGCACCAGCAACCTTTGGTCTGTGTGGATGAGCTGCCTCTCCACACAGTCAGCCCACTGAGCCCAGCAATGTCCTGAGAGAGATGGGTAGACAAGTGTAGGCTTTCTGGTTTAGCAAGGCTTCTGTTAATGGTGTCTTTGCTTTGTTGAGACAAGGTCTGCCTGCATAGCCCAGGCTAGCCTCAAACTCAACATCTTCCTGCTTCTGCCAGGGTTACAGGGATGAGCCACCATGCCCAACCTCCAGTCATCCCATTTGTGTATGTGTGTGGTGGTGTATGTTAGGAGGGAATAACCCTCTCAGATGGGGACTGTTTGGTCACAGATTTTATCTGGATTTGCCAATGCATGAACAAAGCAGCCTGGCTTTTAGATTTTGTTACTGTTTTTAAACTTCCCCGTTCCCCTCCCCTTCCTCCACTCTCCCCCATTTCCCTTCTCCCCACCCCTGTCGCCATCTCTCCTTGGTTTGCTCTTGCCTCTACATCCATTTCTACAGTTTACACTCTGACACACACAGGTTGACAGGGCTGTGACACAGCGTCAGGCCTGAGCCATGTCAGATAAGGAGAGAACAGGCAAGCTTGGCCATGCTCTCTCGTCAGTGACAAGGGCAGGCAGCAGAGTCACATCACCTACCACAGGACCAGCGGAAGTCCAAGCCTGGGTCATCATCCGGCCAGCCTAGCGTGACTTCTGTGAAAGGGTCCACGTACAATTCAGGCTCAGTGAACACCTTCATGTCCCCTTTGTCTCCCTGCAGAGGAAGTGACCGCCAATGAGACATCGCTCCATAATTCTGCTGCCTCCAACCTGCCCTTGACCCTAGAGCAGCGCATGCTGACAGTGGCCACAGGGTGGTCTTCTGCCCTTGGCTTTCCCTCAGGAAGCATGGAGTGCCTTCCTAAGACTCTACTACATAGAGTCTATGTAAATCTAATACATAGATTTGCTTCCAGCGTCGGCTTGGGACTCAAAGTGCCGTCATCTGCACGGACAGAGGCCATTCTCAGCCAGGCCCTGTGCTGATGATGAGAAGCATGGTTAACAGAGACCCAACTGGTCTCTGTCCTTAAGGTAGAGAGGAAAGACAGGGAGACTAATGGACACGTAAAACTCAAGAGTACTGCCTGTGCTTGGTTGTATTCAATTAGAGGAAGATGTAGGCAATCAGTGAAGAATATAAGCCTTGAGTGATTTGGGGAGAGATGACTCAGTTAGTAAGGTCTCTGCTTTGCAAGCATGATGGCCTGATTCAACCCCCAAACCCACTAAGGGGCAGCAATATATGCTTGTAATCCCAGCCTTGGAGAGATAAGACTGACAGATCTCTGAGGTTCATTTGTAGCTGGTCTCCACTATTTTGTGTTTTCTTCCTTTTTTTCCATACTTTATCCCTCCCTAGATCCAGGTTTACCCTCTATCACTAGATAGGAGAGAAAGAATAGAAGAGGTAGAGAGAGGGAGAGCTCTAAATCTAATTTCTTTCTTTTTGTTTCTTCTTTGAGCACGACCACTAACAAGCCACAAACGGCCTCCCTGAACCACCACCAACCCTAGCTAACTATAGCATTTATGTGCCCTCTGAAACATTCCAGAATTCCAAATGTCACACAATCGCAGAAACGATTTGTAGCTGGCAAAACCACGCCTCTGCCAGACAAGGCAAATCATAGTCAGCTGCTGTGAAGCAGCCCCACATCCCAACACCTGAGATTAAAATGAAAACATTCTTATATTATTTCTCTCTCTCTCTCTCTCTCTCTCTCTCTCTCTCTGTGTGTGTGTGTGTGTGTGTGTGTGTGTGTGTGTTTAAGAGACCAAAATTTCAGAATTCTCACTACACTCACTGGCAAACCAGACTAGACTACTTGAGCTCTGGGATAAAGAGAGATATTGCCAAGGTGGATGGTCCTGATGTTGTTCTCTGGTCTCCACATGCTCATACACATACATGCACATGTAAAGAGAAACTAAGGAGAACCTAGGGCTTAGGACCAGCCAAGTCTCAGAACGGGTCATGAGCTCATGTCCCCCAGCCATGTTCTGAGTCTGCGAGCATCTGTCCCTCTGAGGATTCACTAGCTTCTGACCCCCAAGGTTGTCACAGAGACAGGGAAGCTTTCCTGTGGGGACCGGCTCCCAGAAGCATCAAAAGGAAGAGGAGACGGTGCTGGCTAGGCAACATGGAGAGCACGTCAGTTCTGGCTGAGGAATCAGCAAGCCCAAGGTGGATTCTGGAAGTAATTGCTGATGGGGCAAGACAAACAACTCAGCTGTGGGTCCTCTTGTTCAAGCCTTGACCCAGAATAACACAAGGCTGCAGTGGACCTCAACCTCTGATGTGGGTGCCCGTGAGCATGTGGAGGTCATAGTGTCAGGCCTTGCCTTCCGCTTTGTTTGAGACACAGGCTCATTCTCTGGTGGATATGCCTGACTAACTGGCCTTTGTGCTCCTGGGAATTCTCCTGCCACCATTCCCATCTTGACAGAGCACCGAGATCACAGGTGCGTGCTATGGTGTCCAGCTTACACCTGTAGCAAGAGCTTTCCCCACTGAGCCCTCCTCTCACTCCACCTCTGAGCACACCTGGGAAGGCACACACTGATAGTTGTTCTCAGGGCACCTGGTTCCTATTAGTCACACACTCCTCAGTTTCTTTCTTCTCAAGTGTTTATCTCTAAGCTTCATGGGCAGAGACCACATCTGATTGTTTTTAATGTCACACTCAGCCCTAATGTCAATTCTTGAACATCATAGAGGCACTGTAGGTCTTAGTTATCAGTAAGCACACACACAGCGTCAAGGGAAAGCAGAGTTTACTGTCATAAACACTAAACAGCACAGTTTGTTTCCCAAAATAAGTGCTACCAGGTACAAGCTTCGTTCTGAATACCGCTGCAGCTGCAACCCACAATCAGGTCAATTATATTGCCATTATAACTTTAGAAATATTTTCTGATTGCCCCTATGAGTTCTCATTTGCCTGTTAAAAAGAACTTTAACAGACGTGTGCTAAGGCCTACCAACACAAGCCAGTGTCTTGTTCTCTAACCTTGTTGAGGTTAGAGAACATGCTTTTGGGCCTCTTTCTCCAAATGGAAGAAAGCTTGGGGACTCTTGGGGACCCTGTCAGTATCCTAAACCCAAGACTTAAAGCAGAGTGGATATTTTTTCTTGTGAAGTTAAATGTGTTGAAGATACTCACATTCTTTGCCTCAGTGCTTATTCCAGATGGTTCTTGGAGACTGGAAGGGGCTGTGAATATGATGAGAACAAGCATTAAGCTTTGGTGGAAAACATTATAAAACGTTGTCAAAGGCAGAGTCATGCAAGGGTTATGTTGCATACTCAAGGTCCCAGCTGGATGGGGATGTGAAGGGGGGTGAGGCAGCAGAAGGAGCATGTGAGCCTGGAGTTTGTGCTAAGTCTAGACAACACAGTAAGACCCCTCTCAAAGACAAAACCAAACAAACTACAAAAACAAAGGCAGCATGTTGAAGATGCCCCAAGATGTCTACCACTCAGGTGATGGAGACACAGATGGATGACAGGGTTCTGTGGGTGACAGATGTACAGCTGCCTTGCCTGGCCTTTGCCTGAATGCTAGGGATCTGACCTCAGGCACTCACACCTGAACAGAAGCTCTTGACCCATTGAGTTATCTCCCCAGCCCTTATCTTGTATATTTCTGTTCCTGTTTTTCCAGCACTGGTTTGCTGGGTGTTAAGAGAGAAGGATTCTAGGTTCTTTTTTTTTTTTTCTAATTTATTTTTTTTTATTTTTTATATTAATCACAGGTTATTTACTTTGTATCCCAGCCATAGCCCCCTCCCTCATTCCCTCCCAATCCCACCCTCCCTCCTTCATCTCCTCCCTGCCCCTTTCCAAGTCCACTGATAGGGGAGGACCTTTCTGATACTTTCTGTGGTTGTGTCTTTAGAGCACCTGGAGGAGTCTGGGACTGTGGAATGGGGTCCGTGTTCCGAGCCCTATTTGAAGGGCTACTCACTAGACCCCAGGCAGGTTCAGTGCCCTGCAATCTCGAGGGTGCATACGCCTTGCCTGTGACTGTGAGGTTCCCAATGTCCAAGCACAAGTCTGAGAAAGTGTTCCGCACACGCACGGTGACCAGAAAGGTGCCTGCAACACAGAGAGGGAAGAGTCACCGCATTGTCGCAAACTCAGTGACCCGAGTGGAGACAGCTCTGCCTAGGTGTGCCTGTCTGGCTGCCTGACTGCAGCCCTGAAATCTCTCAGCCTCCGGGCTTCTGTGAGTCCTACTGTATACCAGGCCTGGGGCGACGCTCTGGGGACACATGGGTGAAGGAACGAGACACAGGGACATAGTGGGCTCTGGGTGGGTTACAGTGCATGAAGTGAACGTGGAACAGGGCTACGCTTCAAAGGGTGAGAAGGTTCTTTGAGGCTGGAGAACACCATAGGCAGGGTTCCTCACTCGTGCCCTGAGGGATCAACCTGTGATGGAGGAGGGAGGTGGGGAAGAGCAAGAGGGCAGGAACAAGTGATGTCTGCCTGCTTCTGGAAAATGCATGGACCAAGCATGGTAAGAACTGTCGAGAGATCGGATGCAGGTCTTCGGGACAGGGATGGGGAGGGAGTGAGGGGAGGCCCGGAGAGGAAGGTTCTGTGTGCGTGCATGCACCCAGCTGAAGGAGAGGTACGACCCTCATCATCCTGGGGGTTGTAGTCTGAGGGGCCCAGCACAGACGGTACTACCAGAGGCAATTTCAAACATGTCCTTCAAGGGCAGAGTCCTGACCTGCTCCATTTGTGTCCTCCCTCTTACTGGACAGGCCCAGATCATCTGGCCTTGGGGAGAAAAGATGTCTGTTAATCTGAAAATAGGCAAGAAGCCACTGGACTGGTCCAGATTTTTTTTTAATCAGTTTAAAGGGGATAGCCGTTAATGAATAGCTTCACCTGAAGAAGAGGAAGACAAAAGCCAGCAGGTGTGCCCACCTTAGGGTATTGCGACATGATGTCATCCACAAAGTTCAACTCAAGAACTTGGCAACTAAGCTACCAGAGAAAAAATAAATAAATACATCTCAGAATGTTTTAAATCTGTTTGCAATTTTATGTTGGACTGTATTTGTATCTATCCCGGGCTATGGCTCAGGGATTGGATATGTCTGCCAGTTGTAATGGGGATTAATGCCCGAGCATGGTATGTATTTTCTCATTTGACCACTCTTTGGCTTCTTCCTGTTCCAATCGGGGCTCCTGGAGAAGGGGGTGGGGAAGGAACCAACAGGATGGTGCTGGATAAGGCTGTGAGTCACAGGCGGCACTTAGCAAAGCCCCATTGGCTCTCTGATAGAACCTGCCATTCTCTTTGCTGCCTCTCCTACAGTAGAAGGCCTGCCCAGTGTCACCTCCTTCCTGGCATCCCCTGAGCCCCATGGGGAGCTGTGGGCAGGACGGTAGGCTACCTGAGACTCACAGCCTAAAAATCTTATCACTCTGCCTCCAGGCTGCTCAGTTCCTTCATAGTCCGGATGCTTCCTCCCCCGACCTACTTCCACCTCCCAACCCCCGCCCAGCACCTGTCTCCACTTTCAGCCTTTATCTCTCTCACCCTGGCAGACGGAAGTTTCCCCATCATGCTCTCCTCTAGGAATGCTGGTGCCGGGAGGCACCGAAGACACCTCCTCTCTAGTGCTTCTCAGAGGGGTTGATTTTTGTCTCTCAGAGGTCATTCGTCAATGTTGAGGGGCACTTTTGGCTGTCATAACCTGGGATGATGGCCCACTTGCATCTAGTGGGTAGAAACCATGGCTACTGCTAAATACCTACTGTATACAGTATAACCCCACAATCACAAGTTGCTGCTTAGTCCCAAGCAGCAGAGGTAGGGGCTCATGAGGCCCTACCTGCACCCGAGGGGCCATGGGGAAATAGTGGTTTTCTTCAGTGCTCTTGCCCATGCTTTAATACATAACCTATGTCCTACAAGCAGTCTTAATTAGAGTCTGTGGAATAAACACACACACACTACATGAAAGTAGGAAGAAATACTGGGGGAGAAATGGGGTGAAGAGAGAGTGGGGACTGAGAGGGTGATGGGGGGTTGACGATAATAAAAAATGTATTACATCCATATATGAAATTGTTAAAGAATTAAAAAAAAAAAGTAACAACATGAGAAGTGTCTAGGCTGAGAGCCCCTTCAGACAGCTGGAAAGAGTGACAGACAGTATGTGTGCTCTCACTCAGGAGGGTCTTAGGCAGGGTCACCAGGTGAGCCATCACTGTACCAGGAGTCATTAAAACCTGATGGTACCAAATTGGAAATAGAAAAAGGGGTGCCGGGAGGGGGAGCTACTAACCCCAGTACCTTCAAAAGGAACTGCCACATGGTAGATCCCAGATGATTGCCCAACACTCTCTTCCTTCTGGGAGAAGGTTGCATTGAGTCCTGCCACCTCAAAGGTCAGCTCCTCCAAGGTACCATGAGCCACTGAGACATTGACCAGCAGATCCCACCCAAGCTCCACGCGATCAGAAGCCCAGGAGGCCTGCAGCCCCGACAGCAGCTCCATGAAGTGGACAGTGATGTTTCCAGAGGGGCCGGAGGCGGTGCTGTTGCCGACGGCTTGGATCTTCAGGTGGTGCCTCCCAGGTCCCAGCAGCTCCTGGATTTCTCTGTCCAGGGTCAGATTGTAAGTGTTCAAGCCCCTCTTGGTGGTGAGCTCAGCCAGAGTTATGTTATCCGAAAGCACAGCGTAAGTCACCCCAGTTCCTAGGTGGGGTAAGGGAGATTTAGAAAGGCTGTTACTAACTGTGCAGCTAGCATTCTCAGAGAGTGCAGACTGAGTTCTTCTGATGTCAGAGTCTGCAGTAGACACAGACATGGGTCCAAAGAAATATGTAAGGACATATCTCTAAATGCTAACTGTAATTATTTCTGAGTTTTCGCTTAATTTTATTTATTACTTTCTGGATCCTCTCTGCTCATTTTTATGTTTGTTTAAGACAGAGTCTAATGTATTTCAGGCTGGTCTTGACTTTACCATGTGGCAGAAGCTGGCCTTGAACTCTTGGTTTTCCTGTCTGAACCTCACGAGTGTTAGAATTACAGGCAAGCACCACTATGCTCAGTTTATATGGTGTTAGAGCTTATACCCAGGTTTCTTTATAGCAAGTACTCTACCAACTGCAGCCCCATTGTTACTGATTTCTGCCCCTGAACCTAGACATTTATAGCAAATGCTTAGAACATCTTGATGCCTTGGGGTGGGAAACTGAAAAAGAGGAACCTCTGGGCAAACACAAGGATTTGGGTGCATGAGAATGAACTTCAAGTTTGTTTGTTTGTTTGTTTGTTTGTTTGTTTGTTTGTTTTCAGGCAAAGCTGGTGGAGGTGTTTTCTTTAACATCTATTGATGACCTCCTGGGACAGTAGACCACTATGGAACTCATCCTGCTCTCCAGAGTGGGGCCTCCCTAGCAATCTGCAGATGACTGTCCTAGCTAGATCCTAAATATTATAGTTGGCTCAAAATGTGATGTATGCAACCAGATGATATTCTTCCCAGTTGAAGCCAGGCCAAATACATTTCTTGTTTGGATGCTGATGGAAATAAAAGGGAGGGAGGAAGAGGAGGAGGAGAGGAAAGAGGAGGCACCGGTGATGATGCTGGTGATAATAATGATGGTGATGATCAGTTGGTGATGATATCGGTGGTGATGGTCATTTGGTGATGATATCAGTGGTGATGGTCATTTGGTGATTATGGTGATGATGGTGGTGATGGTCATTTGGTGATGATGGTGGTGGTGGTTATTTGGTGATGATGGTGATAGCATAAAGCTCGACAGGATCAGAACCCCTAAGTTTCATGTGTATTCCTGCCTCCTTCACACCTTGAAAAGAGCTGATGCACAGTTATCTCCATAGGATGACTACATAAATCAATGAAAGATTACTTTACTTTGCCCCTGGTGCACAGATCAGCCCTTGTTAGGCAATAGGCACACAAGAACAGAAAGGAGTCCCACGAGTGCTGTGTCAGAGCCCATCGTAATCACATTAAGACTGTCAGAGTGAAGGTCGTACTGAGTCAGATCCTTCCTCATTTGATGATCACTAGCACCACAGTCATCATCGTCATCATCCTTGTCACCACCACCACCTTGTCAACATCCCCCACGGCATCGTCACCACCACCCTAGCTCTGAACTGCAGACTTTAGATCAACAGGGCTTAGCTCAGCTCTCTAACTGGCCTGTGCTTTGTGGGGAAAGGCTGCTGTGGATAAGGCAAGGAGCTTTCTGTGGACAGAAGAGGTGCTGCTTAAACTATCAATGGAAACTATCCAAGCACCAGCTCGTTAGGATGGATGTGCTGAGGAATAGTGGATACCAGGACTAATCAAAGTGATTTCTGTAGTAAATTAGAATGGATGCTGTGACCAATCATCGTGGAAAGCTTAACTAATCAAAGTAAATGTTGTAACCAATCAAAATGGCCTCTGTCTTAATTAGGAGACACTGTGTCCAATCAGTGTGCCCTTGCTAGAACTGTTGATAGGCTTGTGCACAGTTGAGCACTGCCAGGCCTCAGGGCCATAGGATGGTGCCACACTCATTGTCACCGCTGGCTGTGTGAGATGGGCTTGGACCCAGCTGGCGGCCCTCCCAGTCCCACCTCTTCCTATTGGCCCTCCCCCACCCCAGTGGGAAGTGGTATGGTGGTCCAGTTTTTCAGATAGGATTGCAGACATGCAAAAAGAGCCTTGGGAAAGTGGGGGTTCTCACTGGCCCACTCACCTTCTGACTTGGGGTAAATTAATGTGGGGTCTATTCTGAGCCGGCCACTAAGGTCAAGCACTTACAGCAGTGAAGACACCATGACTATTTAAATAGATAAACAGGTGGTAGCTAGGACAGTAAAGCCTCAGGTTAACTAGACAGAGGTGGAGGAGGCGGATCCTCCCAGTCACCTCAGTCTGTTCCATCCTACAGACTCACCTCCATCCAGATCCACCTGAATCCACAGAGGTTCTCCATAGACAGCCTGACAGAGGAGGCTGGCTCCAGAGCCAGACAAGCCGGCGCACCCAGTGATTTGGGGCACCTCCATCTTGTCTCGAACTATCACTTGTTTCTGTGCAGTCACGTGCCACTCGCTGGTTGTACACTCAGCAAACACAGTGAACTCCCCAGGAGAGGTGAACTGGTGGGTCATGTTGCTGAACACGCTGGGGTGGGGGCGGAGCACAAGCATTAGCAGTCATGTCTGTATTTCCATGCTCCCAAAAGACAAGATTTGGGGCCAGGCCTGTGGCTCAGCCGGGAGACGCCCTGCCGAGCACGCGTGAAGCTTGGAGCTCGAGCTCCAGCACTCTTCTAACTGGGTGTGATGCTGTATGTAGGTACATCTGTGGTCCCAGCACCCAGCAGGGGGGAGACAGAAGATTAGAAGTTTAAGGCCATCATCACCTGTCTCCCCCAAGAGCCTCAGCTGAATGCACCTCTAGAAATCCCCTTAGTTGAAAGGAGATGCTTCACCCCCAGGATACACATTGTGCGCCCAGGGACATTCAGCATCTAGTGACTGCTCAGTGACAATATGTAAATGACACTCCTGGGACTAACCGCTACTCAAGCTCAGAGACTCTGTGTCATCTATGAGGCTCCATTTTAACCTCACCCCATCCCAGAGCCCTCCTCTTCTTCCTGCTCCCATCAGTATCTACTCCTGGGTACCCACCTCCCTCTTCTAGGAACAGTCTCCTCAGAGAGGCAAGTATTAGTGGCTTTCCTGGCCAGGGCACTGTTGAGCTTTTCAGAATCTTTCATCTTCCCTAGTACCCATGAGTACCAGGGAGAATTCGTGTATTCAGGTCCAGGCCAGACCCTCCCCTAGATCAGCATTTCTCAACCTGTGGGTCATGTCCCCCAGGACCCACACATAATACAATCTCAGGAAGACCCTTTCACAGAGGTCTCCAAAGACTACCAGAAAACAAAGATATTTACATTACAATTCATAACAGCAGCAAGATTACAGTTATCAAGCAGTGATGGAAATAATTTTATGGTTGGGGGTCATATCACATGAGGAGGATCATCAAATCAATGGCCGAGTGGACCTTCATAAGGACCTTTGGACTGTTAAGTTTGTGAGATTGATAATTGTTTCCTATGTAAAAGTTAAACTGTACAATTTTTAGTTTAAATAGATGGGGGACATTGTGAGAAGAATTTTAATTCAGTTTATGGCTGAGATCACATCTGGCAAGAGATCACATCCAAATACCTTCTAGGTCTATGTGATCTATCTGGAATACAGACATGCCTTTTTTTTCCAGGAGACAGAGGCAAGCAGATTTGAGTTCAAGGCCAGACTGATATTCAGTTTCAGATAAAAAAAAAAAAAAAAAAGCTTAGGTCCAGGCGTGGTGATACATACCTATAATCCCAAACATCGATGGTAAAATTAGTGTGTAGAAGAAAGCAACCATGTTTGAAAGTTATGTCTAATTGAGTGGCAGAAAAACTAATGAATCAGAAAGATTTGACAGAATACAATATGCCCAACTCTTGTGAGAAGAGAGAGGAAAGGGAAGCTACTTTAAGGTAATGCAGAGAGAGAGAAACAGAAAGACAGAGACAGAGACAGGCGGAGAAAGAGAGAGGCAGAGATAGTCAGTTTTACAGGGCCAGAGAATGAGAAGGAGCTAGAAGATTAGTAAAGATTGCTGGAGTTAGTTTGAGGCCAAGCAGAACACTCAGAGGCTGAGAGAAAGCCAGATTGAATCAGTCAGCTTGGAGAGGAGTTTGAGAGAGAACAGAGAGGAAACAGCCAGCCCAGGGCTCAGTAAGAAGAAGAAAGGGTGAGCTTATTAAGCAGTCTCAAAGGCTGAAAACATTCTAGGCCTAGGTTAGATTGTACAGAGGCTAGAAGCTTCCAGGACTAGGCCTGGGTTAGCAAACAGGGGCAGTAATCCTCCGAGACAACTGAAGCAGGTGAATAAAAGTTAACTTTTACAAAGGGTTGTGGCATTAGGAAAGTTGGGAATCAGTGCCCTAGATTCTCTGCTTCTGTTCCTAAACCCAAAAGACTGCAGCTTTATAGTTCTCTCTAACCATCACCTTCTTATGTGCCCCACAGTGGTCTGTGTGCATTGAGTCCTCTACAATGCTTGTGTTACCTTGTATATTGGCATCTTTCCAACAAGATTGTCACCCTCAAGACAACCTAGGTATAGAGGCAACTCCCAGTGGGGACAGAAAAACAATTGATCCCCAGTTGTGCCAGTAGGGGGCATGTGGTTACCTGATTCTGTGCTTGGACTAAGTTGGCCTTATATAAATTGTCCCATAGGACCCACCCATAATACAATCTCAGATATGCAAAAGCCTTTCCAGGACAGCCTGGGAGACCTAGTAAGTACAGAATGAGACTCTATCTAGAAGGGGGAAAGAGAGACAGAAACAGAATAAGATGGCACAGTGGGGATGGGCACTTGCTGCCAAGCCTGGTGACCTGAGTTCCATCCTCCGAACCCACGTGGCTAGAGGAGATATGTCTCCTTAGAGCTGTCCTCTTGTCTCCACACGTGCGTGTGGCACAAGCACGCCCCCCCCTATAATAAACAAACATTAAAAAAAATAAACATGAAGGAAGGAATTAAGGAAGGAAAGGGGGGGAAGCGAGGAGGAGAGGAAGCGGGGAGGAAACACGAAGACGTTTGCACCGTATGGCCTCTGTGTAATTTTTTTAAAAAATCATGCTATTACCCGTACTGTAATTCTGATGCTACTGCAGCTGGCAAAACCAAGAAAGTATGGGAAGGGCCCATCCCAAAGTGAATTAAAAAATTACAGAAGTAGCTGGGTAATTTCAGGGTCCAATGGCTCGTTAAAGCAGATGAAATTGGATCACCCAGGCGGGGTGATGGTTGAGGGACGTACTATCATCTCTGTCTCTTAAAAGAGAGACAAAATGCTAGTGACTGTTGCTTAGAACTGCCACCAAGACAGGTATTAGGAAGAAACCATTGCTCATATACCGGGGTAGTGCATGTATGCATGTGCCCATCCCTACAGACATGTGCATGTGTACGTGGGTGCGTGTAGAGGTGGCAAGAAAACCTCAGACGTCATTTCTTGGGTCTTGTCCATCTGTTTTTTTATGACCCAATTCTCTCTCTCTCATTAACCTACGCTCACCAAGCACACTAGGCTGCTGGCCAGTGTGCCTCGGGGATGTTCCTGGTTCTGCTTCCACAGCACTGGGCTGACGGAGCACACTACCAGCCTAGCGGGGTTTGGGTTTTTGTTTTTGTTTTTGTTTTTTAAAATGGGTTTCAGGGAATCAAACTCAGGTCCTTGACCACTGAGCCATTCTCACCAGCTGTACTGGCTGGTTTTGTATCAACTTGACACAACCTAGAGTCATAGATGGGAGGGAGCCTCAGTTGAGGAAATGCCTCCATGAGATCCAGCTGTAAGGCATTTTCTCCATTAGTGCTCAATGGGGGAGGGCCCAGTCCACCGTGGGTGGTGCCATCCCTGGGCTGATGGTCCTGGGGTCTCTAAGAGAGCAGGTTGAGCAAGCCAGTAAGCACCACTCCTCCATGGCCTCTGCCTCAACTCCTGCCTCCAGGATCCTGCCCTCTTTGAGTTCCTGTCCTGACTTCCTTCAATAATGAACAGTGCTGTAGAAGTGTAAGCCAAATAAACCTTTCCTCCCCAGCTTGCTTTTTGGTCCTGGTGTTTCATCAGCAATAAAAAACCCTAACGGAGACACCAGCCCTATCATCTGGTTTTCATGGACCAAGCAATCGAGGCTTGGAGAGGTATGACATGGTCCAAGGCACACAGACGGGGGTGGCTGAACCATGATGCAAAAAGGACTGTGTGACAAAGCTCAGGTGGTCAGAAACCAGGTGAAGATGGCGCAGAATTCCGTGACAGAGCCTGAGCACACCATGCCTGGCACCATCCTAGAGCAGAGCTATAGAAACCCCTCTAGCACATGGGATCAAGCCTGGCCAGGCTGTGTGATGATGAACAGCACATGCCCTCAGCTGACAGACATCCAGTTGACTGAAGGACAGGTGAGAGAGTGAGGCCTTCCCTGTCCAGTCACCACCCACAGGCACAGCCCCACCAGGAAATCCACCCAGCCCTCCCCAGAACCATGAGAAATGAAAAGTACGGCTCTGGTCATCAGGTTTGGAGGTAGATTGTCATACAGCAAAAGCCGACCGATACAACCTGCCTAAGGATCGGAAGTCACTCTTACCTGGGAGGGTAGTAGGGGTCAAAAGTGAGACCATCTCCCAAGCTGAGTATGCAGGACAGGTTTCCAGTGTAGGGAGAAAGGAGCCACATGAGGGAGATGGTGACATTGTCAAAGATGAAGCTCTTGTTTGGCACCGCCAGCCGAAGGCCTGCAGACCCAAGCGTGATGTTTTGTGAATTTATGAACCAAAGATGTTTGTTTCTGCTTTTAAAAAATCACTTCCTTCTACCCATGTGGCCATTACTTTTATATAAGGCATTTAAAGTTTACTATAGTTTTACTATTTTATTTTATTTTGAGACAGGATCTCTTTATATAGCCCTGGTTGTTCTGGAATTCATTATGTACATCAGGCTGGCCTCAAACTCTCATAGCTCCACCTGCCTCTGCCTCCTGATTTATTTTTACTTTTGAAAGACAGATTTATTTATTCATTTACTTAACTATCTATTTATTTTGTGCGTGTCACGTGCACGAACATGTATGTATGTGTGTGAAGGTTAGAGGACAACCAGCAACAGTCAATTCTCTCTTTTCACCATGTGGGCTTCAGGGATCAAACTCAGAGCATCAAGCCATAAGAGCTTCTACTACTGAGCCATCTCTCTGGCATTTTCAATTTTTTTTCTTTTGATTTTTACCTTATTTTTGAGATAGAGTCTCTATATCCTGGCCCTCAAACACAAAATGTAGTTTGAGGCAACCTTGAACTTCTGATCCTCCTCCCTCTACCTCCTAGATGCTGAGATTGCAAGCATGTACTGCTATGCCTGCCTATATGTAGCAGTGGGTATCAAACCCAGGACTTTTAACATACAAGGCAAGTACCCTCCAACTGAGCGACAGCCTTGGTCTCTGAAAGCATGCACATCTGTCGAGACCCCTATTCTGAAGTCTAGAGACAGCCATTGTCACCACAATCCTGGGTTGCTCTGTACACAGAGTTACAAGCATACAAGCACACACAAACATGCATATTCTTGCACTTTTTAACCTAACGCATCACACAGATTTGTGTGTGTGACGGTCTCAGAGCTGTGCCCCCCTTTTTTTTAACAGCTGCATAATATCCCCTAATTTTTTTAACCAAGACACTGATGATCCAACTCTATTTTATAATGGCTAAAACTACAAACAAACAAACAAACAAACAAAAAACTCCTTTAAGGAAGTCTATTTGGCTGAAGGTGGCAGATGAGTTGCTATAGGCCAGTTTATAATAAACTTGGTAGGGATTGAGCTTCAAAAGCTGCGGAGGGGTAAGGCAAGCAGAATTAGCTGGGGCCCCACATAGCCTGATGGGAACCTGTGTGCTGCAGCTTCCGGTGCCTAAACTGTGTGTGGAAGACTCTGGATCAAGGCAGAATGCCTTCAGGCTCTCACCCTCAGCTGTGAGGGGCCTTCCGGGGCAGCCGGGACTTGTGAGGGGTGCTAGGGGTACAGCTGACCTCTGGGTATTGGACCCAGGGTACTGACTCCCTCTTCACGAATCAGAGGACAGCTCTGATCAGAACACACTGGTTCCCAGGAACAGGGTGAAATGTGGTTGCCATACCCTACACAGCCCTCCTCTATGCTGTCACACCCTTCTGTGACCCAGTGTGGCTGACAGATCTCCAAAAGACGCACTTGGCCCACTAGCAAAACCATCAAGCAGAACTTGATGCCAAAGCATATGGCCTGCCCTTCCCAGACAATAGGAGAGGGAGAAAGGCCCTCCATCTTGTTCCACCCAGACATTAGTGAGTGAACTAATGCCACGGGTAAAGCCTGTTGGCTGCCACCCTCCCCTTCCTGTACCTGTCCTCCTACGGCCTCAGCTCTGCTATGCTAGATACCACTGGGAACCCTGCCCGCTCTGACTCATCTTTTCCCCTCAGGTCCTTGATGCTCATGCCTTGGGCAGAAGTTGCTTTTCTGAGTCATTTGTCAAAGGATGATGGCACAGTGCGGTGTCTCACCCTTAAGGGAAGTTGGCGTACTCATCCTTCTCTGTAGGAGAGTGGACTAATGCCGCTCTTTGGGGGGGTAATTTAGTGCTGTCTACCAGCGCTTAAAACACACTCAGCTCTCGTCCTGAAAATGATCCCAGGTTCATGTCAAGCTACGCATCACAGTGGCTGGCGGTAGCCCACACAGCATTGAGTGAGCAGCATTCAGTCACCGGATGGGGAGAATCTCATGCCCCCCCCCACACCTTCTAGGGAGCCATGGGCAATGGAGGGCTGCCGGGAGAGGCGAAGTCATGTCTTCAGTGTGGTGGGACCACGGCTGAACTACCCATGCCTCGGGGGACAGCGCCACAGCCATGCTCACACCAAGGACCTGGTTAAACTCAGTGGGTCACAAAACCAAGCTGCTCCTCCCTCCAAAATGTGAGGAAGTGATTTAGAGTTGTGTCTGGGATACATTGTAAAATGAAAAAAAAAAAAAAAGTTGAGCACTAGATTAATATGTTTCATCTGATTATGTTTTAGTCAAAATGCGTATATATTCACTCATAGCCATGTCTGTAAACATTTTTAAAAGATTTATGTATTTATTATTTATACATTAGTCTGCCTGCATGTGTGCCTGCAGGCCAGAAGAGGGCACCAGATCTCATTATAGATGATTGTGAGCCACCATGCGGTTGCTGAAAATTGAACTCAGGACCTTTGGAAGAACAGCCATAATCTCTGAGCCATCTCTCCAGCCCTGCCTGTAAACATTTTTAAATGGAGAGAGAGAGAGAGAAAAAAAAAAAAGCTTCTCAATATTAACAGCATTTTCTTAGAGGGAATAAGACTATCAAATTGAAGGAAAGAATTTCCCCTTCTTTATTATAAAATTTTTACAAATTATGATAATACTGGTTATTTCATGACTCTTAAAGGTTTTAATTTTAGGGCTTGAGAGCTGGTCCAGTGGTTAGGAGCACTTGTTGCTCTTGCAGAAGATCTGGGTTCAGTTCCCAGCTCCTACACGGAGGCTCACAGACTCTGTAACTGCAATTCTAGGTGACTGTTGTCCTCTTCTGACCTCTGCGGGTAACACATGCATCACACACACACACACACACACACACACACACACACACACACACTTGCAGGCAAAGCACCCGTGCATATAAAATTAAAAAAAAAAAACTTTTTTAAAAGAAATTGCGTGTGCGCAGGCATGCATGCAAACAGTTCCGAGAGAGAAGGCCAGGGGCAGGGAAGTCTGGCCACCAGGAGGCTGTTGTAGGGGAAGTTCTCTGCACACGGCAGATCTGTCACCTGACAGGGGAGTTTTAGGCTAACAAACAGCAGAAATAAGAAACTCCTCATGCCACCCCCCCCCCGGGTTGGAGACTCACCTTCCAGACACTGGTACTGCACCCACAGATAGCTGCCCCTGCTGGGGCATGGGTCTCCAAAGTAGGTTCCGTCTGCGGTTACCTGGCATGCCTGCAGCCCTTGGCACTGGCCTGGGAGACAGCCACATTGCCCGGAGGTAGGAATGGTGTGGGAGACAAGGGGACATAAAAGTCAGCAGAGCGCCGCAGACGTGTTCCTTCATCCACCCAGTTACTCACAACGGGCTCACCAAATGCCCGTCAACACCTACAGGCCCTCAGCTAAGACGACAGGAAACCCACTTATGTTTGCTCTAGGCTGTGACATATTTAAATGCCTATGGAGTTGTTTAGCCAGAAAGACAGATTGCCTCTCCCCCCCCAACACCATCCTTTCTTCACTGTTTGCTATGCTGATATCAACCATGGGGTTGACAGCAGCCAGGGGCCAGTGACTCTCTCGTCCACAGCTTGTAGAAACAGAAACAGCGAGTGATGTTTTTGTAAGGCACAGACACCAAGGGATACCAGAAAACAGCTAGAAGAGGCTGGGGTTCATGGTCCTGCTCATATCTTGGGCACTAACCTCTAAAACTGTGTATTATTCGACATCCCCCCCCAGTTTGAGTTCTCAGTTTTGACACGCTTGGGATACTGCTCTCCCTTTTCTTTCTCCACGTGGAGCCCTTCCTCTCTCAATCTCTCAGCCTTATGTATCTCAGGACACAGATCGGTCAAAGCTGGAAACATCACAGCATCCTGAACCCCCACCAGTGAGCAATACCACCAGGCTAGCCTTCTGGGTCTAGAATCTCTCCAGTTCTCCCCTGTGCCACCTGCAGCTCCCAGCTAGGTGTCAGATGGCAGCCTCCCTGTTTGTGTACTAACATACACAGGCACTCACAGTAGCTCTGGATGCCTCTAAAATCAAGTTCCAGCCCCCAACCCCAATCCCAGCCCCCTGCCACCGCCTCCCACCCAACAGCCTCCATCTCTTCCCACCAGGAAAAAGTCCAGGCTCTTTGGATGGATTTCCTGTCTCCCTATGTGCTAGAGTCACACCATACACTATGGGTTCTGGGTACCACCAAACTCCTTCCTGTAGAGCGTCGCATACTCCCCTCCCACTTCCTCACACACCTACCTGTCCTTTTCCTGGTAGCCTCTAACCTCCCACGTCCTCCGGGGAATGAACCCCTCCGTGAACCCCTGTCTCTGCCCATGTGTCCCCTCACCCACAGTACAAGCAATCTCATGTTCCAGTCTCTCTGGCTCAAGCACGTGTGTTGGACACATGTTCATCTCCAGCTGCTCAGACAGTGGCTGGAAACAACACAGGCTCCTCTCCTGTTCTAAAGGTCAGAAATCCGGTTGGGCTGGACTGGGCTTCTTTTCCTTCTCTGGGTTCTGGGAAAGACCACAGCCAGTACCATTTCTGAGGCAGAATCCAGTCCTATCAGATGCTTGAAGTTTCTCTTCATCCCGGAATGTGGCTTCTCCAAGCCACAGCAGAGCAGCTACTCTGCTCGCTCACACCAGGAACTTTGCTGTATTCTCCTCCTCAGCTCTCTCCTGTTTTCATGCCAAGAGAGTCCCCTGCACAGAGAGGCTCCTGTTTGCATTGTTCTCAATCTTAGGCAGCCTCTCCATCCCCAAGTCAGGCAACCAGTGACTTGAAGCAAATCTGTGCCTTGTGCATGTGCCTTGTGAGTGGCTTTCTGAGCCCTGGCTCACCACACCCACAGTTTTAAGTGATTGGGGTACTGTAAAAGCTGTTTGGTTTCTCAGAACTTCCAGGATTTAGGAAAACAGCTCCCTGGATTAAACCACCCTGTTGAGGGAGCCAACTGATTGATTGATTGATTGATTGATTGATTGATTGATTTCCTCCCTTTCCTTTCCTTCTTTCTCTTCCCTTTTTCCCCTTTTTCTTCCCCTCCCTCTCCCTGCCTCCTCACTTCCTTCCTCCCTTCTTTTCTTTCAACACTTTTTTTTTTAAGACAAGGTCTCACTAGGTAACCCTAGCTGAACCAGAGATAACCTAGAACCCCTGCACAGATGTAGCCCATGGCAGTTCAGTATCCAAGTGGGTTCCATTGTAATAGGAACAGTGACTGTCTCTGACATGAACTGATTGGCCTGCTCTTTAATTACCTCTTTAATTACCTGAACCTAGCTAATCTCTATTTAGATCATGCTAGCCTTGAACTCAGAGAAATCCACCTGCCTCTGCCTTCCAGAGTGCTGAGGTTAATTAAGGAGGTACACTTCCACGGCTAACTGACTTCTGTTCTTGGAGGGGAGCAGGTGGAGATTCACTCTGCTGTTTAGGCTGACCTTAATCTTTGACCTTGAAAACTCCTCTTGTCTCCACCTCCTGGGTCGTTTGGGACTGTTGGTTTGGCCACTGCATCCAAGTATTGGGTTTTTGAATTGTGGCTTTGGGGAGTGTGAGGAGGTTCTGAGAATTAAACTGAAGGCCTCCCACATGCTAGGCAGGCCATCTGCAGTGAGCTACACCCTACAGCTCTCATCGTAATTCCCAATGAGGCCTGGTTGGTGACAGCCCTCCATCTGGTCACATACCCCCGTGGGCATCCACAGTGCTCATTGGGAGTCTCCAAAGGCCCGGGAGCATTTTAAAGGTTCTGTGCACTGTTGGGTCTCCCACACAGAGCTGGCATGTGGTAGATGCAAGACACACTTTGCACAGTGCCTTTTGCTCCCTTCCATGGCAGCGTTTATCTGTCTCCCCACTGGACTCTGAGCTCTTTGAAAGCAGACAGTTTGATTCATCCTATCTCTCCAGAGCCCAGGGTAGTGCAGAGCCCTATTAGTCCTCAATAAATCTTTATTGGCCGCTGGATGATTGCGTGATGAGGAACTCAGATACCATCAGATGGGGGCCCTGCCAGCTCCCCTCACTCTTCCCTGTGAGGTCCGAATTTCCCTTCCAATGTGCTGTCTGGGGTGTGGTGGTTCTGCTTCCAAAACCTGTGGCTGCACCATTGAGGAAACAGCCAGCCCAGCTCCTCTGTACTGTGGTGAAGATGGCTCCCTCAGCTTGTTCAGCTGAGGCCCTTCCACTTTGGAGGGCACAGCACAGGAGGAGTGCTGGAACTCTAATGAGAGATGTTGAGAACTACAAGCTGGTTTCAATTTTTCTACCCCGACGCCGGCTCGAGGGGGAGCAGGCTCACCATGGTGGACTGGTAGGGAAAAGGGGAGTGGGGCAAGGAAGAGTTCCAAGGGAGAAGAGACATGCTCTCCCCAGAGGCTTGGAGAGCACTCTCCACCCCATAATTGTCACGGGGTCTTTGGCTAGAGACACAGCCTCAGAGGGGAAATTCTAACATGCACATTTAGGGGAGCTGTGCCCGTGGCCCCCAGCTCCCAGGCTGGGCATCCACTGTTGTGTCCTGAGGAGCTGAGACCACCTGCCTTTCCAGGTTCCGGGTGTCTGAACAGTGGTCACTATTGACAGACAGCCAAAGATTCCCTACTCTCCTGGATACAGGAAGGTTCTGGAGTCTTCAGAGGAGAGCCAGGAAGCCCGGGCAATCCCTGAAACTGAGTCCTTGATGGTCAGAGGAGAGTTATTCTGATTTGGGTGTGTGTGGTGGGAAGCCATAGGGAAAGCACCACACACACAGAGGAGATGGCATCAGAAATGTCTGCCCCAGCGGCTGGGGAGGTGACCCTGTCAGAAAGTGCCTTCCATGCAAACACACAGGCCTGAACTCAACCCCAGAACCCACACCAAAAAGCAGAGTGTGGTGGTACAAATTTATAATCCCAGCACTGGGGAAGGGGAGACAGCCAGATCCCTGGGGCTCACTGACTAGCTAGTCTGGTCCACCCTAGTCTAAGTGAGTTTCACTCCAGTGAGACACCCTGCCTCAAGAGAAGCAAGGTAGATGAGCCCTGTGATGCCACACTTTATTTATTCTTTATGAACAAATCTTAAGCCAGTGCTACACCGTGACATGGTATTGAGATCTGACAAAGGAGGAGGTGGTTCTCTGGGAGTTTATCACAATATTCTTTATTCTTTGCTGGCTTGTTTGAGACAGGGATTCACGTAGCCCAGGCTGACCCCGAACCTGCTAGGTAGCTAAGGATGACCTTAAACTTCTGATCCTCCTTCCTCCATATCTCAAGTGCAAGGATTACAGACATAAGCCGTGCAATCTAGCTTTCCTTATTCTTGCCTCTAGGTTTGAAATGTTCTATAAATGTAAAAATCAGGCTAACTGAATTGATGTTCTCTGCACCCAGAGATTAGAAGCCTTCCTGCCCCAGAAGCTGGGTTTGACGACCATGGCCATAGTGCTGTGGACACAAGCTGGTTGGCTTCCCCACAGGGAGGAGGCCCAGGCTGTATCTGAAGAACATCAGAATCTTCCTGGGGTCCTACCTGACACCTCATCCTTGACGCTGACCCAGCCACATTCTCCCTCTAGGTCGGCAGGAGGCCAGATGCCCCAGGTGCACAAATAGGGGGTCTGGCGCCCAAAGAAAGCATCCTGGACTTGGATGACATCTCCAGAGCCACAGTGCATGGTGGCGTTGTGGCCGTCACAAGCCAGGCTGCGGCCGACCCCTGCAACAAAGAGAAGGTGGCAACTTAGAATGAACTAGGTAAGTGCCGGGCCAGGGCTGTGAGATGCAAGGGTAGAGTGGGGCCAGCTGGAGAGGAGGGGAGACTCAGAGAGACACAGAGCATGGGGTGGTGCGGATCCAGAGTTGGGAAGGGAGAAAGTCCCAAACAAACAAGACGGTGTCACAAGAGGTCTACAGGCAAGGTATAGACACAAAAGAGAGAGGAAAGCAAAGAGACACAAAGGGGAGAGAGAGCTGGGAAAGAATGACCTAGACAAGAATGACAAAAAACCTACAGAGATGAGGGGGATCAGTAAAGAGAGATGGCTGGAGAGGTGAGGCCTAAGAGGGTGAAAAGCAGGCGGGCAGAAAAGGAAGTAGGAAGGGAGGGAAGCACATTAGCAGGGAGAGTCGGGGAGGGAGGCTACACAGGACCAGCTCACCAAACTCGCAGATGAAGGCAAGGGCCTGGGCACAGTCCTCTAAGGCAGCCCACCGGGATGAAGAGCCACCCCTGATGCAGCCGCAGGTCCCTGGGGCAGGTGTGGCCTGCCCTTCCTGCCAGTTGCTATAGTTCACATCTGTAGAGTCCAGCCAGGTCCCAGAGCCTGGAATGGAAACAAGCACAGCAGGCCTTGGCAGGAACCCTCTCTTGCCCTCCCTAGGTGGAGGCCTTGCCCTACCTCAGCTCCTAGCATGCACTGGTGCTCAGTCAATGCCTTTGCTTTCCCACAGCAGAGAATGAGTGTGTCCTCATCCTTAGTCTCAAACGCTCAGACATAACTGGACACCATCTTGGGGAAACCCACAAAAAGTGGTGCAAATCAGGAGTGGCAAAGTGCAGGGCCCAGAGTATTCCGTGACACTCATAGGTGAAGAACTCTGGAGCAGAGTGTCTGCTCAGCTGTGTCTGGGCATGAATTGAGAGCAGACAGAAGGGGCTTGCATTGCTCCAGAAGCTTCTAGAGTCCTGCAAGACTCAGCAACCTTCCGGGGTAGGTTTGTCTTCAGAGTGAACAGACACACAACAGAGAGCATGGACCCCAGGAACAAGAGGATGACAAACATGTTTTTAGACCAGTTCCTCTGCTAGTTACTGTACATGACTTACTATACCTGATCTACAAAACAACTAAAGAGGAGGGACTCCTTGCCATGAAAATTAAAACATGTTAATTTTCCCACGGGGTTCTGGGTAAGAAGTCTATCACATGCCTCCCAACTACACAGCACCTACCTCCCACACTCCCATTGGATGCTGAGGTTCCTGTGAGTCCAATCCACCAGTCTCTGTCCTGGGAAATGTGCTTCTGCAGGAACTGTTGAGTGTCTTCATCACGAATGAAGACCAGGTGGCCTCCATGCCCTTCGCACCAGCCCTGGGCACCATGGAAGGTGTGTCCCAGCGGCAGGAATTCATAGCAAGCATCCCTGAAGAACACCTGGCTCCTTAAGCATAAGCTGCCTCCTTCTGACTTGGCCACAGTGACGCCTGAGCTCAGTGCCAGCCCCAGGAGCACCAAGCCTGCCATGCTCACCTTGGGACGGCTGCTGGGGCTGCAGGATGAGGCTCGTTCTCCACTCCTTCATATTCTGCCATTCCCACAAACACCCACCATCCATCTTTCCTTCCCTCTTTGCACCAATAATAACTCTTTTGTTTATGAGACAAAAGATTCAGGATCAATGTGTCTGTGTTTTGACTTCAGCCAATTATTTGCTCAATGCCTGTTTGAAAACCAATTCATATTTGCATTTCTTCCAGAGAAAGATAAATTTGCTATGATACCTGTTTGATAGATTCTTTATTATTCATTTTCTTTGGGCCATTACCTGAGTGTCCAGGGTTCCCAGAAAAGTCATCGGCATGTGCAGGCATATGATAAAACTGGCATGGAAGTGAGTTATGGGATGGCAGCCATACAGAGTGGTACCCATACGCAACCCTATTGTGTGGAACGACATCTGTACCCAGATGATAACGGTCTTCCCCTGATGTGGCCAGAACCGGATGGGAGAGACAGGTCCCTTTCTGACTCACCATATCATCACTTACGCCTATTGGAGGCTAAAACCTCGCTACAAAATTTATTTCGTGTCATCAAATAACCTTTTATCTAAAACATAGACCTATCCATCCTCAGCCATCCTCCAAAACCATCTGCTGAGTGTCCGGGGTCTGTGGCTAAAATTTAAATGTCTTATCTTTCCCCACAGTGTTGTGCTTAGTCTGGCCTCTGGCAATTTTTGGGTCCTTCCTGACCACCTTCTCATCTTTCAAGGCGTATGTAACTGAAAAAACTACTTCCTGAGACAGAAGCGATGACTCAGTGTGTAAAAGCATAAGCTGCACAAGCCTGCATTTGATCCCCAGAACCCTTGTAATAATCCAGATGTGGTGGTGTGCATATTTAATTTCAGCACTCCTACAGCGAGATGGGAGGGAGGGACAGGTCTTCTTCGAGAGCAGTACATGCTCCTAACTGCCAAGCCCTCTCTGCTGCCCTAGCTTTCCACCTTAAAAAACAACTGTTACACCTCCCACCTCTGTGTGTGTGTGTGTGTGTGTGTGTGTGTGTGTGTGTGTGTGTGCGTGCCCTCGCGTGTGTAACCAGTTTTACCCTTATGTGGGTCTCAGGGATCAAACTCCGCCCTCCTTCCACTCCCCAAACCGTCTCTCCAGCCTTCCGCTTTAGTTTTTGACACAGGATCTCTCACTGAATGTGCAGCTCACGAGCCACCTGGTTTGGCCAGGAATCTGCCTGTTGCCCCAGTGCTGCCCTCAGTTCTAACATGGGTTTCGGGGATAGATCTCCGCTCCTCACGCTTCTGTGGGAAGAACCTTGCCAGCTGCGAACTCTCCCCAGCCCCATTTGCAATTATCACCTTTTCTCTCCACTCTCCCCACCCCAACTCCTGGCAACTAGGAATCTCCATTTCTGACTCTAGGCTTGCCCGTTAGATTTGCCCGTTCTGGACGTTTCACACAAATGAATCTTCCAGTTTGTCACGTGCCCTGTGTGGCCTGTCTCGCCAAGCATCACACTCTGTGGGCTCACTGATGTCACAGTGTGTACTCACAGGCACACACAACCTTCTGACATTGTAATGTGACTCTGTAGTCTATAAAGTTCACACTCAGCGGGGGATGTAGAAGGCCTGCTTGCCTAGCAAGTGGGAGGCCCTGGGTTCAGTTTCTAATACTGTGAAAACAGAAACAAACAAAAAAAACAAAGTTCACACTAAGGACCTTAGAATTGTATCACAAAAACACTGTAAAACAAACGAACAAACAAAGAAACCCAAAAAACGAACAAGGAAACCCCAAAAGCATGGAATGCTTTATCACTTTAAGCAAGCTTACATTCTTTTAGATCTGTGTGTTTTTAATTTGTATTTGTTTGTTATTTGCTTTGTGTGCCTGTACATGCAAGTGTATATGCCATGGCTTGAATATGGAGATCAGAGGACAACTTTGGGGAGCTGGTTCTCTCCTTTTGTTCTGTGAGTCCTGAATTCAGGAGTCCTGAATCCTGTGAGAACTGAATTCAGGTAGTCATGCTTGGTGGCAAGTTCCCTTATACTGAAACAGGACACTGGTTAGACAGAGCTCACACCACTCCTCTTTTTAAGTCTCTGCAACCCTTGGGCTATTCTTCCCTGTGACTTTCCTGGGATGGGACAGCATCTCTTTAACCTCGTCTATCCCATGACCAGCTCATTGGAGGAGTCAATAGACGTCCACTTTGGTCCACTTTCAGTTACTGGGGCTGATCCCTGCCCTTGACCCCCATTTCAGAGCCCCGAGAAGTGGTGCTGCCAGATAGAGGAGGGACAGAGGCAGGAGCAGGAAAGGGATACGGTGTTGCCGGATGACTCAGGGGCTGGAATGCAGACTGGGCAGATCTGGTCTGTTATCTGCAGAGGCCAAACTTCTAGTGACTTCCATCAGTGAACTATGTGAAAGGCCGCACGCAAAGACAGTGTATCTCCCAGGTGAAGGCTCAGTTTATACTTCCAATGAGATGTGCTTGGGGACTTGAGTTGACCCGTGAGAATCTCCAGGCTGAATTCCATTTTCGAATTCTTTGAATTCTGATAAAGTGTAGACTGCCAGCCTTGGGGTTCATCTTGCTTAGTGAATTCACCAGCTTTCAATGTCCCTTGGCCTCTTGTCCGGGAGGTCCACATTTCACGTAACCAGGACACAAGCAGCCTCGTGTGAGCATGTTTCTATTGACCTGGTCAGCCATCCCACCCAGTAGATGGAAAGCAGAAAGCCAGCTCGTTTGGTTTAAATAGAGCACTGGATCTTTAAAAAGAACTCTGGTGAGGCTTTGGGGAGATGATTCAACCATGCTTGGTCTCCAGCACCATGTGGACAAAGCAGGCATGGTTCAAAATTAATATTATCCCAACCCTGGAGAGATAGGAACAGGCAGAAGCCTGGGGCTCACTGGCCAGCCATCTGAGCCTAGTTTGTGAGCTCCACATCACTGAGAGAACTCCTATATGGTCTAAAAAGAAAAGAGAGGTGGCTCGTACCCAGCGTTGTTCTCTGGTCTCCACACCCATGTACATACGTAAACACACAAAAGGACCATTATAATACGTGTGCCCTGGGGCCCCAGTGTTCTCCTCTGGGGATGATATGCATTTTAGCTTGGGTTCCCCTGAAGCCAACACAGGCAAGGATTTACTGCAAGCAGTCTATGTGGGAGGAGACCCAGAAACCACTGCGGTTGAGGTTGGTTCTGGTGGCTCCCCAGAGATGGCTCCCGAATGTTGAATCAGAGAAAACAGGAAGGCGCCCCGACCTCAGCCACCAGAATGGTGACTGGAATTCTCTTGATTATTTTTTCTTACATTAAAAAAATGTTTTTATTTTATGTGTATGAATGTTTTGCTTTTGCGTTCATGTGCCTCGTGTGAACCTGGTGCCTGCAGATGCCAAAGGAAAGCATCAGATTCCCTCAAACCGCAGTTAGAGTCGTAGCGAGCCACCATGTGGGGTTGGGGACAGACCCTCTTAACTGCTGAGCCATGTCTCTAGCCCTTCATTTTGTGTGTGTGTGCGCGTGCGAGTGTGCATGCACACAAGCACAACACGGCACCGTAAGCACCGGGGTGGATGTCAGAAGACGACTCATAAGGGTTTTTTTCCTCCAGCCTAGAGAACAAGCTCAGTCCATCAGACTTAGTGGCTGAGCCATCTCACCAGCCATCTTGTGATTTTTTTTTTTAAAACACTCAAGAATAGATGAATCCTTCAGGCCTGCTAACTTGCCAGCAGATTTCACGGGATAACCTGGACTTTGAAAGACCAATCATACAGAATGAGGCAGAGGTTGGGCGTGGTGAAGACTGCTTGCAAGCCCAGTGCCAGTGTTACAGAGACTGACGGCCCTCTGGTACTTGCTGACCAGGCAGCCTAGCAAAATTGGCAAGTCTCAGGCTAGAGAAACACCATGCTTAAAAAGAAAAGTGATCAGCACCGGAGGAATGACACCCAGGTTTGTCCTCTGGCCTTTACCTGGCAGCACACACAAACATGAGGGGGGTGAGAGAGAGGAGAGAGAGAAAGAGACAGAGACACACAGAGACAAAGAGGGAGGGAGGGAAGGAGAGATGGAGGGAGAGAGAGGAGAATGTGACAAAGGTGAGGAAACAGGGAAAGAGCTGGTAGGAGGGGTCACAGTCTTACAGAGCCAAAGCCTTGCTTCTCATCACTAGCCCAGCACCCACCTAAACTACAGCCACCACCACCCCCATCACCCTCCATAGAGCAGTCTACGGTCCCACCTCAGCCTCGGGACACGCTGTCTCCTCCACCAAGGCTGTGTCTTGTCAAGGCTTGCTTGCTCGCATGCCCACACTCTTTCCCCTGGACAGCTCCAATGCCAACTTCTTCTCCCAGGCCCGCTAGCGTCTCACAAGGGCTAACTGGCTCTTCTTTCCTGTCTTCTGTCTCGGCACAATCCACAGGCAGCAGCGAGCTTTCAAGAGAGAGCTCAGGATTTGGAGCTAAAGGCACCCAGCTTGGGGGATCAAAGTACCTACCATTGCCTTCACCCATTTTTACAGCCTTTGTTTCCTCAGTACTGTAGGTTGAATTGTGTCCTTCAGATCTGTTGCACCTTGAAGTGTGACATTAGCTGGGACCAGCTTTGCGATGTACTAAGGTTAAGATGAGGCTGCACGAAGGCAGAATGACAAGTACCATGACCAGAGCCCTAATAGTGAAGCTTGGAGGAAAAGACACCACACTGACGTGGAGGCAGAGTTAGAGCGCGTGCGAGCGGCAGAAGCTGGGAGAGGCAGAAAGAACAAGCTCTCAGAACCCTCTGAAAATCACAGCCCTGCTGACACCTTCATCTCCAGCTTGTGACCTCCGGAACGGAGGGCCAGTTCCCGTTTCTAAGCTGACCAGTTTGTGGCGGACCCTAGTGCAGTGGCCATAGCACAGCGAACCACACGCCTACACACGCGTCTGTTCGCTGAGTGTCTACCGAACACCCACCGTGTCCTTCCGTAAGGGCAGCTGCCGCCTCCGTGGGGACTTTGCCTTTCACCTTTAAACCCGAAAACCAAGATGTGGCCTTGTCTGCCCAGCTTATCACCCTGGCTCATTAGCAGCACCACCTAGAACATAATTGGAAAACTGCAACGTAATTTAGATCTGATAACACTATCTCCAACAGGGAAACACTGGAAGTGGGCAATGGCTTCTAGCAAGAGATATGGGGTTGCAAAATAAGACTGTTGGGCTGTTTTATAACACAATTTGTATGGCTTGCTGATTTCAACTTTTACTTCATGTTTGTGTGTGTGTTTTCCTGCAGGACTATCCTGAGCCCAACTGCCACAATCTTCAAGATCAGCCTGCTCACAAAACGATTGTCATAGCTGAGGTTGTTGACTACGCGCTGGCATGAGAGGTTTTTTTTTGTTTTTTTCGAGACAGGGTTTCTCTGTGTAACAGTTCCTGGCTGTCCTGGAATTCTCTTTGTAGACCAGGCTGGCCTCGAACTCACAGAGATCCTCCTGCCTCTGCCTCCTGCCCGAGTGCTGGGATTAAGGATGAGACACTTCTGTGCAGTATCAGTCCTCTCTATTCTTCTCAATTCCATCTTAGCAAGTCCAGCCTTCACTTGACAGTTCTCTCCCTTCCCTTCCTTTCCTGAGAGCCATTCCCTCCTGTGGCTCCAGCAGCACAGGAAGCAACATCTAAACCTCTCATGGCAGAGTCTCTGTGTGGGGCCTGCGCTGGGACAGCTGAGGCAGCTCACCTCCTCCTCTGCCTGGTCCTCCCTCCTCACCTTCTCCAGGGGGCTGCACCTAACCATTGTACAGGCCTTGGCTCAGTCCCTAGTCCTGTGGAAGCTTGCTGTTTCGGCCCCTGTCCTCCCCAGGCACTTACAGGCTTGGGGGTTTCCCACTCCTTTCCTTTGCCTGCATTGTGGAACCAATCCTGCCCGACAGGGGTGACCCATATTCATGGAATTGACAAATGAGTGACTGTTTGTGTGGACCAATGCATGCCTTTGCCATTCTCGGTTTTTGGCTTTTCTGACATGGCACCCTGTGCTGGCTTTTTTTGTTGTTGTTTTGTTTTGCTTTGTTTTTTGAGGCAGGGTTTCTCTGTGTACCCTTGGCTATCCTAGACTCACTTTGTAGACCAGGCTGGCCTCGAACTCACAAAGATCTGCTTGCCTCTGCCTCCCCGAGTGCTGGGAGCACAGGCGTGTGCCACTGGGCCTGTCTTATGCTGGCTAGTCTTACGTCAACTTGACACACAAACTACAGGTATCTGAAAGGAGGGAACCTCAATTGAGAAAAGGCCTTCATAAGATCCAGCTGTAGGATTTCTTAATTAGTGATCAGATCAATGGGGAAGGGCCCAGGCTACTATGGGTGGTGCCACCCCTGAGCTGGTGGTCCTAGATTCTATAAGAAAGCAGGGTGAGCAAGCCATGGGGAGCAAGCCAGTAAGCAACACCCCTCCATAGTCTCTGCATCAGCTCCTGTCCTGTTTGAGTTCCTGTCCTGACTTCCTTTGATGATATAAATATGGAAGAGCAAGCCAAATAAACTCTTTCCTCCCGGGTTTGCTTTTTGGTCATGGTGTTTCATTGCAACAACAGAAACCGTAACTAAGACATACCCTTTAACTATCTGTTAACCACAAAAGCCTCTGCTCCCTTACTTACATGTATAGACCATTTTATTTGCTCTTTAGCCAACTCAGCACTACCAACAGAACTTTCTGGAAAGAAAAAAAAGTAGTGTAATTTTTTTCCCCTCTGAGCCCTTGGTGTATCCCAGATACCTGTATGAGGATGCAGCTTTCACAGCTCAGAGTAAATAATTCTGGCATAAAAACATGTGTTTGGACACAACAGCAGCATAAAGTAGCTCATCATGGGAATTACTGGAAATGTGGGACAGAGGGAAGTGCCTTCTAAGAAAAGGGAGAAAAGATGACGGGCCTTGGGGTTCTGATATCATGTCATCCTACTTCATACTATGGAAAAAGAGGGTCAGAGAGAGAAACATGGCCCCTGCCCACAGGAAATTCAGCCCAGCGTCAGCCAAGCTCTCCATCTCTTCCCTGGCCATGGGCCCCTCAGCTCCGGCTGTGCACAGGAAAGGCATTGCTAAAATGCTGGCCACTGGCTCCGCTGAGATTCTGAGTCAGTGGGTCTGGAGCCCAGCCCGGCACTTCACAAATTCTCACCAGGTGAAGGCAATGTGCAGCCAGGGAAGGAAGCACAGCCTGTTCTAGAATGTCCTGAAACCCTGCATGACTCTCAGCTGGCTCCCACCTTCCTCCACAGCTGCACTATGTGAGAGCAAGCACCCTGGCTTGCTCTCTCCCTCCCTCCCCAAACCATTTGTGTGTGTGTGTTGTGTGTTGTTGTGTTTGCGTGTGTCACAGTTACACTTACATGAGCCAGTGTGCATTCACGTATAAGCATGGGTGTAGGCCAGAGGACAACTTTGGCCATTGCCTTCTCAGGTACCATCCACTTTATCTGTTTACTTTTGAAATATGGTCTCTCCTCGGCCTGGAACTCACCAAGGAGGCTAAGGTGGCTGGCCAACAGCTAAGGAGCAGCCTCCCTCCCCCACCTTTATAGCACTGGGATTATACAACGGAAGCATGCCCTTTTTTTTGAACATGAGTCCTGAGGATTGAACTCGAGTCCTCTGTTTAAAAGTCAACTACTGAGCCCTCTCCCCAACCCCAAATCATCTTTAGGTTTCTAATTTATTTAACTACATAAAACAGAGAAATTGTACGTCTTCCCCAGGTGTCCTGTATTGATTCCTGTGTGTCTAGTGTAGTGTGGAACCCAGCTTGACCTCAGCCTCCTGCGACTCTCCCTGCTGAGGGAGTCACTCTGAGCAGCAGGAATCAAGAGTTCACCAGCTCTTACCCAGGGCTCTCGAAAACGCAATGTGGATTTTAGGCAGTGGCATCACGATATGTGAACACGAGGAAATCCTAAAGCCAAAAACAGCCAAGGTTTCTCCCTCTTCATAGCCCAGGTTGAACTGAAGGGTTTTGGCCGGGCTGGCTGTCCAGCAAGCCCCAAAGATCCTACTGTGTCTGTCTCCCAGCGCTGGGATTTGTGTGGGTGCTTTGGGTAGAACTGGGGTCCCCATGCTTGTACAACACACTGTCTCCCAGCCCCTGGAGTTGTTTTGTGTTTTAATTATTCTTTGGTCCCTGATAAAAAGCCTTTTTTCTATGTCTTTGTTTTTTGTAATGGGCACCTGATACATTTTTTTTTGTGCCCTTTTCCCAAAAAGAAAACCAATCAAGTGTCAGTTGATATGATTTTTAAGAGTGGGAAGGAACCAGACCTTTGGTTAAAAACAAAATCTTGCCCACATTTGCAGAGTGAAGACGTCACCAACCCACACCTTGCAATCATGTGATCAATGCATGACGGTCCCCTTGCTTGAAGAGCCTTTGCTGGTCCTGAATGCTAGTCCTCCCTGCTCTGTGGGCTAACTCGGGCAAACTCAGCAGAATACACCAAATCTTCTCCTCCAACTTAGAGTGGCTAAGCTAAAAGTGAAATCAGAGAGGAAGAGTTGGAAAAACACTAACAGGATTAAAGATTAGCAGTAACACATGGCTTGGGAACTGACCTTTGACCAAACATTGTATAAATTACCCAGCAGCTTTTGGTAGTAGGCAGAAACACTGACCCGCAGAGAAGAAGGAATTGGAGGAAGAAAAAGATCATAGAAAGACAGAAGATGTAAAGGAGCAAAGGGCAGGAAGACAATAGGCCTTGAGCAACCGGGAAGTCTATTCCAGTAACACCCTCCTCCCCGACACCCACCAGTTCCATGGAGTTAATATTTGGCCGGAATAAAAAAGAACAGCTGGAGCCAGTACAGGCCAGAGTGACAGGTGAGACTCCTGTGTTTAGATGGACTCGTGCGTGCATGCGTGCATGCGTGCGTGTGTGTGTGTGTGTGTGTGTGTGTGTGTGTGTGTGTGTGTGTGTGTTAGAAGTTGCTTTGGAAGCCTGGAAACTCATATATGGAGACAAAAAAGCCAGGATCCAGAAACGGTCTCTGATAAAGAGGTCTGTTTGAATGTGGTAACTCAGTCTCCGAGGAGAGAGCAGGTCCTTCTTCCTGTGTCCAGAAGAAAACTGGGAATGCTCTGATAGCCAGGCGGGGAGACCAGAGGACAGCTTGCAGGAATTAGTTCTTTCCACCATGCGGGCCCCAGGGATTGAACCCAGCTTGTCAGGCTTAGCTGCAAGTGTTTTCACCCTGCTGAGCCATCCCACCGCCCCACAGGTAAACTGTTCTAACCGAGGAACTGCCTTAGGTGTTGGGAGCCTTCTCAGGCTTTAAGTGTATTTTCTATGATTCAGTCCACCACTCTATGTGTGTGGGATATGTCTCTACATAAAATTATATGCAACATTTAGGTGACTATTACAATATAAAAGAAAAAAATATAATATCATTATTTGAGTATATTTTCCCTTTTCAAACTTCTTTTATCTTTAATCATGTGTGTGTATGTGTGTGTGTGTGTGTGTGTGCGCCTGTCTGTGTGCACGGACGGATATGTGCATGTGAATATAGGTGTCTGGAAAGAACAGAAGTATTAGATCCCCTGGGGCTGGAGGTGCAGGCGGTTATGAGCTACAGTGGGCACTGGGAATCAAACTCAGGCACTCCGGAGTGGAAGAGCAGAGTGTGCTTTTAACCACTGCACAATCTTTCCAAAGTCTCTCTTAAGTTTTCATAAGACAGATGTCTCAGTCAGGGTTACTAGCACGGTGATAAAACACCGTGACCAAAGCAACTTGGGGAGGAAAGGGTTCCTTTGGCTTACACTACCACACCACTGTGCATCATCAAAGGAAGTCAGGACATGAACTCAAACAGGGCGGGAGCATGGAGGCAGGATCGGACGCAGAAGCCATGGAGGCATGCTGCTTATTGGCTTGCCCTTCATAGACGGTGGAAAAGAGAGCTGACACTTGAAAGTTATCCTCTAAACTACACACACACACACACACACACACACACACACACACACACACACACA